AGATTGATATCAAAGAAAGTTTTGACTTGGTCTCGCTGGTGGGTCAAATCATCATGGAACATTGTCATTTCCTGGACGAGCTCAGGAAAAAGATTGTCACAGGCAAAATCTGCTGTTTGATCTGCTACATGATTACCTAAGGCACGATACAGAAGAAGGTTGTCCTGCACTTCATTCAGCTTTTGATGCGCCTTAATTTTAAAGACTCGCTTCAAAGGTGACATACTGCGGAAAAACAGCTGCAACAGGTCAAAATCATCATGATCCGACAACTCTTCTAAATGGGTAGCTCTTCGACACTTCTCAATCAGGTCAATGGCTGAAGCACTATCTGTGTAAACCTGAAATTGCACAAGCTGCTCAAATAAAACCAGGATAGCTTGAAGTTCTGCTCTGTGAATGGCCTGTCGTCCTCTAGTGCGACCTACTGTAACTTTCTGCAGAGTCCAAGGAATCTGTCCAGTAGTTTTAAAAATAGCCGCAAGGTCTCTTCGTTGACTGTCATCTACTGTAAGGTCTGCAATGACCGAAAAAGCAGAAAAACATGTGCAAGGAGAAGTAGGATATTTACAGCTTCCATCAGTGAAGAAAACAGGATCACTTATACCTGCTTCAACAAGTCGTTGCAAGATAGTGGCATTGATTTCTGGTTTCGGCATCGCATCAACAATTGCATCATGAAACTCATAGTGAGGGTGCAAGTGGATTGCAGGCAAATCAACAAGCAATGGATTCTCTTCCTCCAACTGTTCCAGAAATTCACCCCAGGGAGCCCGAACGTCTTGAAAAGACATGCAATGGAAAAACCTATGCATCTTAGTGTCTTCAGCTGCTCCGCAAAAGGTGCATATTCCAGTTGACTCATTCCACTTGCACTGTTGCATTTGGGTTTGGTATCCACTAGCAAGTTCACGCAGGCAAAGAAGTCGCTGTTTTGGTCTATACTTCCGCAAGAGTCTAACCATTTCAGATTGATTGAGAGGTGGCAAGTTATATAGTTGAGTCCGCTGGGTTTGAAACATGAAGAGTTGGGCAGACCAAGCTTGCCTCAAGAAATAACAGATATCACTTAAGTTATCCTCAACCAGGTTACAGGTTTTTAAGGCGGTCATCTGAATCAAACCACTATTTGAACATTTGAGGCCCAAGCGTTGGAGATATTCTCGGAAAGCACTGGCAGGTCCTTGTGACAGTCCTACTTTCGTGGATGGCTGTGAAAGGATGTCAAGGAAGGCCTGTTTCGTCTCAGCATCTGCTTGTCGCAAGAAGCGTCTGGCTTGTTTGGCGGCTTGAGTGATAACACGAATGCATGGATCTATGTCACGGCTATCCACACAGTGAAGAAAAATACTGGAGCTCATCGAATGCAAAGTTTCTCCGACCAACGCATCTGCGATTAAGGTCCGGAGGTTGGTGAGATTTCTTTGACCTACTGCCAACAATTCCATACCATACAAGGCAAGTGGTAAAACTGAAGCTTGCACTACATGTGTCTTAACTGGCAAAGCCCAGTTACTAAGCTTGACAACTTCTAGGCGTTTCTTGGCTTGCTCCAGGCGGTCATGGATGATACCAAGCTTTGCATTGCCATGGTATGTCATCTGGCATCCAAGATCAGTGGCAGTGGCTTGAACTCGGGGTGCTTCAACATTTAAGGTCTGATGCACAAGTTGGCTCATGCGCGCAGCTCCAGTGGATCCTGTGGTCCAGCACCATGTCTTATCCCAGCTTATTTCTAAACCTAACCATGAGACAAAGTCATCAGTGGTGCGTATGGTACATGGATCGAGGTGTTGATCTGGCAACCACCATGTCCAGTTGTCAGCATAGGCTGTAGAGCTGGCATAAGGTGAGGCGGCTTCCAACACATGCCCCCAATTGGCTGCAACTGCAAGCATAGCAAGAACACTCCAGCTATCACCTTCCGGGCAGCCAGTTGTTGTGGTGGTTGGGGAGCTAGTCTGTTGGGCGACATCCCAAAACCTGGTCATGCCACGGATTGAATTGGCCCATTTTTGAACTAGCCTCATTGGAATGCCAAGTGCATGCAATAGCAATTGTACTTTTGATCTATTCAAAAGGTTGAAACACTTCCGGAGGTCAAGTGTGAGGCCAGTGATGTTCGCATCGGTTTTCCTTTGAGTTTCAAGAAGTGTTTGCATGATGTAGGTGGCAGTTAGCGCACCTCTTGCAGGCAGCATGCCGGTTATGGACCTGGGCATTAATTGTGCAAAGTGCTGCAGACACCTACGAGCACAAACTTTTCCCCAGAGTCTGTAAAGGGTGGCCAAAATCGTAATGGGACGGCAATTTTCCGGTGTCAACACTTCTTTTTTTGGAATAGGGACAGTTCTTGCCAACATCATGGTTGGGGGAAAAAAATCCATGGAACAAATTATCTTCACCAGTATCTCCAAGAGATTGTCGGGTATCATTTTGAGTTCCTTAAAGCAAAACCCGTCCGAACCAGGGGCGGAGTTGGCTTTGGCATTTTTGATGGCAAATTTCCATTCTTGGAGGTTGTCTTCAAAGTTATCATCAAGGTGTGGAAAAGATAGCATGTCACAATGGAAAGTGTCATGAAAGTTGACATCATCTTCGTGGTTTGTCCTATTCCAGAGGGGCATCCAATATGCATTGAGAGCATCAAAAACCTCTTCCTGGTGGAAAGTGTCTCCAGTTTGGCAGATTTCTACCTCTTCCGGCAGGCTGTCAACTGTTGGCGGCATGTCAACAATGAGTGAATGGTCCTCAATTCGCAAGATCTTGCAAGCATGTTCATGAACTTGCAAAGGCAACAAGGCGGTGTAGCGATCAGGACGCTCGACAAAACACTCGTGGATATTGGCATCTACATGGATGATCACCGCAAGTTCTTTATGGTGCTTGTTAACATGGTGGAAAGGCTTATACTCATGTCTTTTAAGTGCCGCAAAAACATTTTTCATATGATTGGTTTCGCAGTCAATGAGGTGTTTCATTTCCATCTTCTTTTTCCGCAGCTTCTGTTCTTCATGCACGATTCTTTGAAGTTCTTGGTCGAGAAACTGCTGCGCTGTCACAAGCCAATCAACCGTAGGAAGGTCGAAAGGCAAAGGATAGAGCTCAGGAATGTCGCTCACCCATTCTCGAAAGGATTTAGAGTGGAATCTCCAGTAGCAAATTGCGTTCCATTCCTGATACAACTCCAGCATGGTTTTAGTAGTGGTGAATGATTGTTTTTGACAAAAAGAAAAACGCTTTTGTAATGAAGAAAGTCTCCTAATCTGCTTGACAACATGCTTACTCTGGTAGCTGGCAGATTCGCAGTTGATGTTGTAATCACTTTGTCTGGCCTGCTTCACTGGAGTGACAAGTGGAATTCGAATGAATTTTGGATCAGTGCATCGTCCTTTAAATCTTTTTGGCAATTTTGGCAAGGGTTGCAAAGTTGGATTTTTGGCATGTTCTACTTGAATGGCATGGTCAACGGTGGCTTCAACTAGCTGTGCCCACTGCAAAAGGTTAGTGGGCTCGGGGTGTTGGCAAATGACTTGCGCTGATGCTTGGAGATCACTACTATCAATTGGAAGTTCCGTCCAGGATTTCGGTGTCTTAAGCCTGGTTGTGAAAAGTTCTTGGCCCGGAATGTGAAAGGAAATCACCACTGGTGCATGTGCATCAAAGAGGGCTTGGTTATCAACCGTAAATCCCTGCATTCTTTGGACAAGCATCGGATGCACAATTGCAGTATCGGGTGTTGTCACTCCCTTACACGTAGGGGGCATTGGAGATTGATAATACATTTCATGGATCATCTGAAGAGAAAGAAATCCTTTGGCATGCAAAGCTGGGAACATTTCAAGTTGGTGGACATCCATGTTAAAGTCTCCCAGAAAGATGGTGGGGAGGTTAATGGTGTTAGCCATTTGGATAGCATGGGCAAACAAAGTGTTGGTGGCTTGACGGTGCCAGGCATTACCTCCCGTATAACCGTAGATCACAATAATTTGCACATACATCATTCCCCACTGTATCACTGCATGTACCAGGCGGTCAGCATCTGCTTTAGGTTTGAGATCTTGGCTTTTCGCAGCACGTATAGGCCATTTTGAGTGAACGGATGTTCCACCTGCACGGCCTCTCAAGGAAGGTTGGTCGCAAATTTTCTGCTTTTGGGGTTCAACAGGTTCCGACCAAACAGACTTAAGTTGCAGGGATCTAAGTTTAGCCGCCATGGTTTTTTGGATGTCTTTGGTGGCGGTTGTTTCAGCACAACAAAAGGTGTCAACTGCATGAGTTTTCATCAACACCCGAAATTCCTCATGTTTGTTTCTAATGGCTGTTGGATTAAGGATGGCAATAGTGGCAGTTACACTACGCTTTCTTCGAGAATGGTCATTAGGGCCAGGGTTGCTGGCTTCCCCTACCCGCATTGTTCGAAAGCAATCAAAGTTCCGACCCTGATGGCATTTGGGCACCCGAAAAATGAAAAGAAGGCAATTTTCTGCTTCCTGTCTGAGCTTCGGATGGAAATGCATGGCCAAAATGGCGCTCTTTCTTCGAGAATGGTCATTAGGGCCAGGGTTGCTGGCTTCCTCTACCCGCATTGTTCGAAAGCGATCAAAGTTCTGACCCTGATGGCTTGTGGGCACCCGAAAAATGAAAAGAAGGCAATTTTCTGCTTCCTGTCTGAGCTTCGGATGGAAATGCATGGCCAAAATGGCACTTTGAATTGGCAAGGATCCCCAATGTTCTATCACTGGATGATCTGTCGCACAAGAATGGCACGTAGGCAATCTGTACATAACATTCCAAATGGCAATTACTTCTACCAACAGGTGGTGGCGAAAGTGTATGCATAACTTTTCAATTAGTCCTCCATGTCGTTGGGATTGGACTTGGCATGGTGGCTCATTACAAAGATTGTGCTGTATCCAAACGACATCAGCTTGGCAACAAAAAGAACAAACCCCCTGGTTTGTGTATCCCCTGCTCATTTGGTTTGTCTGGAAGGCAAGTCAACCTTCCATACCGTCATCTCCATCTGCAGAACGAGTGCGTTTTGGCTTGGCCTGCAACAAGGTCCTGAGTTCACCCAAAGTGCTGTTGAGTTGCAAGGACTGCTGACTGATAGCTTGCTGAAAGGATGATTCCAAGTCAGTTTTCACTGCATTGATGGCCGCTTGCATCTGCATCTGCGTTTGCTGCTCTCGCTGCTGCACATTTTGAAATTCTTGCTTGGTGTCACTCTGAAGCTGCATGAGGGCCTTCTCAATTTTCTGGATCTGCTCACCCTGGGAGTTGAGCTTGGCTGCGTGCTCTTGGAACTTGGCTTCTGTAGGTCCTGTGAGGTCCTTCGGTTGTGCTGGCTGCATCTTGTTAGCATTGTATCCAGCCCAAGGATCAAAGTGAGGGCTGGTCTGGTCCATTGACGCACTTGACATGGCATTGCGATCAACTTTACGTGGCATTGGTCCTGCTACGATCGGATTCCCATTTGCAGTGTCTTTCGGAGGCAAATGCTTGATGAGAATGGGACGATTATTGAACAGCTGAAGACCTGGTGGTGGCATATCGCAACTACCAATGAGCCAGGAATTGGGACCCAGCGCTTTGATTGCCTTGAAAGTCCAACCAATATTGTTGGCCCACTGCTCAAGCATTGCCGCAGTGGTACCATATGGCAAACTCTGCAGTTGGAACATGTGGTGAACCTCTTGAACCTTAGGTGCTTCCTTTCCAGGGAAAATCACAGCCCAAGCCCGGTCAAAGTCTTTGGATGAGAAGCGAAGACCCATCGACTTTTGATTCTTCACCAAACCTGCACAGCAAGACGTTTTTGATGCAAGGCTCGTCAAATGGGCAATTGAACCTTCTACCCATACAATTCTCCAGGATGTGTCAAGGCGACCTTGATTGTTCTTAGGGGTCAACCACAACTTATTAAATCCGGATGCATTCAAGGCTTCGAGGATTCGGTCTCCAGCAATGGTGGCATGGAACTGTACACTAGTTGCATGATAACTAGTGGTTGGCATCCTGTCTTTGCGAACGGATTTTCCCCATGTGGACTGCAAAAGATCGGAAAGCCCCTGCGCAGCAAGAATTTGACGGGCATAAGAGAATGGCTGATCCACAATCTGCTTCCATTCATCAACTGACCAATCCTCTTTCCAATAGGTGATCGACACTGTACTGCATGATTGTTCATCAATGATTGGCATTTCTGAGACATGGGTTCGTACCACCTTCTCTCCAAGTTGCACCAGGGTCGCTTTAAGGATGACTGGCCTGGAATCTGAGTCTTGGCATGGCACATGAAGGCATTGTGTCTTGAGCGTCGCCTGAAGATTCTCATGGTGTCCTAGGATTACCATAGCAAGCTCATCAGCAGAAATAATCTGCTGCTCTCGAAGCCATGGGAGGGCTTGATCAAAGCTCATGAGCATGACCCCGCAGCTCTTGTGTCTGATTTCATGGAGTTGCGGAAGCTTTTCATCATTTTCTGCAAGGAAGAACGAAGGCTCAATCCGATAATCTGCAGGGTTGACATTGATTGCAACACGCTTTCTGGCTTTGTTCATGCCTACCTGTGCAACTTTCTGTGCTGACTTGGAGACTGCAAGTGGTGGCGAAAGTTCACATTGTTCACAAAGCTGCAAGATGCTGTCAAGACGTTGTTTGCCCGGAGGCAAGTTTGAGACCTGTGTGATTTGCTTCAATCCAACCAACGCAACAAGTTTCTCCGTTGCTTCACTGACCCAGTTGAAAGGAAATCCTTGCTCAAGCAAAGTGGCAGCAAGACTATTTCTCACATAGGTCTTCTGATTGTCCTTTGTGCCTGCACCTCCACTCATCTCTTTCATAAGCTGGATCATCACAAAGTTCGCATGTGTTTCCGAAAGGAGCTGTTCAATCGAAACATTGCAGCATTGCTTGGCTTTGTGAATCATGCGCATGTCCCTACCAAGGAGTTCAGGAAAGCATGTGAGTTGAAGCAAAGATCCAATCAGCTGTGCATTCACATCTCCTACCAACAAACCATCCCAGATTGCTTTAGATTGCCACTTCAAAATGACCCTGGTTCCATTGGGATCACTGAGTGTATCAAAAATCTGACGCGTGGCAGCAATTGACAGAATTCTGGCAATGGCGGATGCAGGAATGGGCAAGGAAGAGGAATATGTCACTACTCCTCCATTCGGCAGAAGCTGCGTATGGGTGGTCATCTTCAAATGATCACGTGTCTTTGCATCAAGAACATTGGCCCAAAAATGCATCATTGTTTTCACAGGCGTGTCCTCTCCAGTAAAGTTGAAACATACTGACAAAGTGTCTGTGTCCGAAAGGAATGACATCTGTGCTTTCTTGTACGCAGCAAGTACCATGCATGCATGTTGATCCAAAGGTTTGTGCAAAATGCGAAAGTTCATCATCATCGTACGAAATGTGAACTGCTGGCCTACTGCAACAATGCCAAATTGGTCAAAGGTGAGACCGGACAGTCCCAAATCGTCAAGTTGCTTTTGGATGGGCTTTTGAACATCAAGCTGAATAAACAAGAGTCTACCTTCATTGATGCATGGTGTGGCAAATGTGTCGCAAGTCTCAAGGTCAGCAAGGTGAATCTGTCGTGTCATGAGCATGGCAAAACCATCTGGATTGTTCACACATTCCTCAATCTTGAATTGGTGATCAAACTGCCATGAAAGGTCACATGGTCGAACATTTGACACTGCCCAAAGTTCAAATTTCGTAATCTCAGTCAAGATTTGGATTCTCAGCATGGGCTGAAATGGCACGGTGCTCGAAAGAATGACCGGTTCATCTTCATCAATTTCCGTTGGCAGCGTGATTTGTGAGGTGTTGACTGCAGCTGTTTCAGGATGCATGAGTGTATCGTTGTGAATGAGGCCATGTTCAGGATGCCAGGAATGGTGCGGCTGCAGTCTGAAGTGGTCATCACGATTGTCAATCACATCAAAAGCTTGCAAATGCTTCTGCCAATCTCTTGTTCTGTCATTTTTGGGAACAAAGAACTGAGCTGTTTGGCTGGTAAAATGGTCGGATTCATCTGCTCTCAAACGATTCTGCAGCAAATGTATGGAAAACCTCGGTGAGATCCAAATTGGATTTCAGGTTCTTGAGAGCTTTGATGCCATGAATCAATAGGAGAAGCGCATGTGGGCATGTGATCATATTACCAGCATGTTCCCATGATTTCTGCAAATCATTCGTCACGAAAGAGCAACCATATGTGATATGGCACATATGAATTTCCGCAGGATGTAGCAGTCGCAATTGGTTGTGTTCGTCTTGAAAGAAATGCCCATAGTATCCTTTGGTCTCCAAAGTGGAACGATTCAAAGCATGTTGCATCCCATATCTGGCCATGATGGTCGGGAACACTTCACTGCCAGTCTTGCATCTCATTTTCAAGAGTTCTTTGCCCGTTTTGTTTCTGTGTTCCTTCAAAGCAGGTGGCAACATTGTGGTATCCATGGCACATGAAATCATTTCCTGCGTTGTTCTGAGCTTGATTGTATCTGGCACAGGGGACGCAAAGACAGATTTGAGGATGTCCGGAAGCAATTGTTCTACTTTTGGCCAATTCTCAAACTGGGGGATTTCTACATCTGAGGCATGCCTGCGTACTGCCATGGCCAACCATCTGATTCGTGTGACACATCCAAACTCAGCTGAGTCCAACACTCGTTGCCACAGGATTTGGTATCCTACATGCTTCAAAACATCCAAACAAAGCCTCTTGTGTTGGTGTGTTGAGAAACCCTGCACCTGTTCCAACAGGACAACTTTGGGACGCAGTTGACGACACCTAAGGATCATGGCTGGAAGGAGACATCCAATATCCGAATGCAAACCAGGTCCGGAAGAAGCTCCAGACCAGGGTGGGCATGGTGCAGAAACTGTCATTATGTGGATACCCCATCTGGCTGCAATGGGTACCCACACATCATCATCGGCATCAGCATGGATGACAACATCACATGTCAACTTATCCACATCAATTTCTGGCTTGCAATTGGTGGCTTCAACAACTACTGCATTATGCATCATGGCATAGTGGCAACATGCGTCAAGGCTTTCGTCCAAGGCCATGGTCATGATTGGAATGTTATATAGGTCTTTCAGTGCATTGCAGGCAACTTTCCAACCCCCATAACCCCCAGAAAAGGCTTCAAACACATGAATGCATTGACCTACGGGATCTTTGATTGGCAAGATCATCGTGGCATGATCTACGACCCATGCAGCTTGGCTCTGCAATGGGAAGGCATGGGAATCTACAACATTCCACAGCAACAACTTTCGGTCCTGAGGCAGCTTCATGTCATGAGGAATTTCAATCTGGATTGCACCCCCAAAGGTTCGATCACACAAGTTGGGAAAACATCCGTCCTGGAACATTGCAAGGCTACCCCCTTCCACTGCAGTCTGAACACCATTGAAAAATTTGGAATGATCATGTTCGCATTCAACATCATGGAGAAGTACGTGATGACGATCTTTACACCATGGGGTACCTGGAGATCCATAAATGTCAAATTCCCTCAGCAAATGCTCCAATTTGGGAGGCAGCACACGAAACATGGCGAGGTCCAATTAGGCTGCCAGCGATGCAGCACACTCACACGTCGGGTACGTTTGGACCAAATGAGCACCTGAATTAAGGCCATTTGTGGATGATTTCCCTTATTAACCATTATTCCCAGTGAGGTCGCAGTGAGGTCGTTATAATTTACCCAGATATATACTATGGGCGGCTGGGAGACTCCTTGGGATGTTCAACTATCTTTGCCATCCAGGATGCATTGGAAATACCCGGAATCACGTGCCATGAAAATCGTGCCATCATGGTTTGCGATTTCCCAAGGATATGGCAGTGTGTCAAAACCTTGTACCCCTGGTGAACATCAAAATAGCTGGTAAATGGATGTTCATCCCCCTAAAAATGGTATTGATAGGTATTGATCCATACCCATATGTCCAATGCAATAGTTGTGGGACAGTTTCATGTACGTATGTTAGAAAGCCACACTGCTTTGACAGCAACTATTTCTTATTCTTCCAGATTCTGCCTTAGTCAGCTTTGCAGGAAAACCAACAACGGGAAACCCTTCGGCTGTTGTTGGGTTACCGGGTTCGTAGTCTTGAGATCCCGGATCGCCATGCCCAGCAGTCAAGTCGCTTCGCTCACGAACTTATTGCCATGAGTCGCCATTTCAGCATGCTGATTTTCAGCAGAGGCAGGCGTCTCGACAGTGAGATAAACAGAACCGCTTTGTGAAAGGTGTAAAGATGCTTTTTTTCAAACAAACAAAAAAGGCGCAAGCGCCAATTCAATGTCTTTGGCTTGATCATCATGTGTAGACAGTGTCCAATAAATGTGCAGTGTTTCTTTAGGGCAGTGAAACTTTTAACCACTGACTGCAAACCACATGGGACCATGATCAACTCCTATTTAATATTTAGGTGAATTGAGAGAACACGAGATTCGCTGTGCCACTCAGATGTTGCTTCGATTGCTTGCTGCTTCACATGTTCTTCGCAGGTGAAACGATCGCTGGAGCCAAGCCCGTTCAATGATAACCCGTTCGGTGCAGTAAACCTTCCCTGACAATTGGAAGACCATTGTCATTCCACAGCTACTCTTGGAAGATTACGCAGATTATACAGCCCCCAAAGACCATGATCCACTGATATTGTCAGACTAGTCAGACTTGTCGCTTTATGCATTGTAGGTTTGGTTCTCTTTCTAGGAAATGAGTGACATATTAGGCATCAGCAGTTTCACACAAACACACACCAAAAACTCTTGAGTACTAGTCGAGGATTGTGACACTAAAAACCAGTCACCCAACAGGCTCGATCAAAGATCGGCCAATATTGCCAGCCACCGTTTTATATATCCTTGTATCATCTGTTGAAAGTGTTCCCTTCGTATAACCACACAACCTTTCTGGGTCATTTGGGAGTGGCTCTGCTCAAAGCCATTGCCTTCGGAAATATGCTTTGTAACGTTGTGTGGTAATTTCATGTTTGAGGGAACCAGGGAAACTTGTCCCCCTATCACAGCAAATTCCATAACTCAAACGCTCCATGTCCGATCCTGCTTGTGTTCCCTGATTAGTGTCGGGCCACCCCCCTCCCCCCTTAACAATTTTTAGGTCCTCTTTAATGTGGAAATTTTCAAGATTTCGATCCTGAATAGTGTGTGATCAAAAAAATATGATTGATTTCAATTGATTTTCAATTGATTGCAATGTCCTTTTCAATTGATTTCAATTGATTTTCAATTGATTTCAATTTACTTTTAATTGATTTCAATTTACTTTTAATTGATTTCAATTTACTTTTAATTGATTTCAATTTACTTTCAATTGATTTCAATTTACTTTCAATTGATGTCAAATTAATTTCAATTGATTTCAATTTACTTTTAATTGATTTCAATTTACTTTTAATTTACTTTCAATTGATTTTCAATTTATATACTATCAAGGGATTTCAATTTACTTTCAATTGGTTTCAATTTACTTTCAATTGATTTTCAATTGAGTTTCAATTGATTTCAGGTTACGTTCAATTGATTTTCACTTGATGCCAGCTTACTTTCAATTTATGTTCAATTGATTTCAATTTAGTTTTTTGTTTTTTAATCCAAATGATTTCAACTTACTTTCAATTGACATCCCATAGTAATCCCATAGACATATCACAGAAATATCATGGAAATCCAATAGGAATCCCACAGAAATCCCATAGAAAGATCGTAGAAATAACATGGAATAGCATAGAAGCCACAAAGAAATCCCATAAGAATTCCCATAGTAATCCCATAGAAATATCATAGAAACATCATGGAAATACCTTGGAAATCCCACAGGAATCCAATAGAAATCCCACAGGCATCCAATAGAAACCCCATAGAAATATCATAGAAACATCAAAAAAATACCATAAAAAAACCATAGGAATCCAATTGAAATCCCATAAAAATACCATAGAATTCCCATAGCATCCCTGCAGAATCCCATAGAAATCCTCCAGAAATATCAAAGAAACATCATGGAAATTCCATAGAAATCCCATAGAAATCCAATAGTAATACCATAGAAATACCATAAAAGAAAAAAACTTTAGCAAAGGAACAGATAAAGGGAATGTTTGAAAAAAATAAAACACCCCAGGAAGCAGCTGGACACAATAGTGGACCCCCAAAACAAACAAGGATCAGGGTTGCTCATGGACTACCCCTTTAAACAATTGTTTGAGTGCTGTTTTTTAATTAGGTTTTAAAAAGGCATCCTATATAAATAATTATTACTGATGGGTCATGATTAACCCTAAACAAATGTTTCTTCAGACAACAGCTAGACACAATAGTTGACCCCCACAACAAACATATTATTTAGGATCAATACTGCTCGTGAAAAAAAACAAGATGAAGCCCACGAACCCGAATGCTCACACGTATGTTAATGGCACAGATGTCAAAACACATGGTTATGCAGTCACGCACAGTACCTTTCTGCAATAGTTTATATTTGAACAGTCTTGTACATGTTTCCCTTGTTACCCGTCTGCGGTGTGGAGTGTGGAGTGTAGAGTGTGGAGTGTGAAGTAAGGAGTGTGGAGTGTAAAGTGTGGAGTGGGGAGTGTAGAGTGTGTAAAGTGTAGAATGCGGAGTATAAAGTGTAGAGTGTGGAGTATGGAGTGTACAGTGTGGAGTGTGGAGTGTAAAGTGTGGAGTGTAAAGTGTGGAGTGTGGAGTGTAAAGTGTGGAGTGTAAAGTGTGGAGTGAGGAGTGTAAAGTGTGGAGTGTGGAGTGTAAAGTGTGGAGTGCAAAGTGTGGAGTGTGGAGTGAGGAGTGTAAAGTATAAAGTGTGGAGTGTGGAGTGCACAGTAAAGTGTGGAGTGTGGAGTGCGGAGTGTGGGGTGGAAAGTGTAGAGTGTGGAGTGTGGTGTGTAAAGTGGGGAGTGTGGAGTGTAGAGTGTGGAGTGAGGAGTGTAAAGTGTAAAGTGTGGAGTGTAAAGTGTGGAGTGCGAAATGTGGAGTGGAAAGTGTAGAGTGTGGTGTGTAGAGTGTGGAGTGTAAAATTTAAAGTGTGGAGTGTAGAGTGTAAAGTGTAGAGTGTAAAGTGTAGAGTGTGGAGTGTAGAGTGTAAAGTGACGAGTGTAAAGTGTGGAGTGAGGAGTGTAAAGTGTGGAGTGAGGAGTGTAAAGTGTAGAGTGGGGAGTGAGGAGTGGAAAGTGTAGAGTGTAGTGTAAAGTGTGGAGTGTGGAGTGTAAAGTCTCAGGTGAGGAGTGAGGAGTGTAAAGTGCAAAGTGTGGAGTGTAAAGTGTAGAGTGTGGGGTCTACAAGTGTAAATTGTGGAATGTGGAGTGTAAAGTGTAGAGTGTGGAGTGCGGAGCTTCCCCCAAAGACACGGCGACGCCACAGGAAAACCAGAGACTCGAGACGAGACACGTGGGTGCAAAAAAACGAGCATTTCGAGCGAGACGTCCTCCGATTTTGACATTTTCCACACGTTATCAAACAGGTTGGAATGTCACAAAGTGCCACGCCTGCCACGCAAAACGACAGGACAACCTGCTTGGAAACATTCGAAAAGGTAAGGTTTTCCAGCTTCCCCCATAGACACGGCGACGCCACAGGAAAACCAGAGACTCGCGACAGAACACGTGGATGCAGAAAAAACAGCATTTCGTGCGAGACGTCCTCCGATTTTGACATTTTCCACACGCTATCAAACAGGTTGGAATGTCAGAAACTGCCACGTCTGCCACGCAAAACGACAGGACAACCTGCGTGGAAACATTCGAAAAGGACAGGTTTGCCAGCTTCCCCCATAGACACGGCGACGCCACAGGAAAACCAGAGACTCGCGACAGAACACGTGGATGCAGAAAAAACAGCATTTCGTACGAGACTTCCTCCAATTTTCACAGTTGGCAACATGACAAAAGGACAAGTTTTGCAGCTTCCCCCATAGACACGGCGAAGCCACGGGAAAACCAGAGACTCCAGACGAGACACCTGGGAGCACCAAAACGAGCATTTCGTACGAGACTTCCTCCAATTTTCACTCTTTGCAACTTCAAAATCGACGTTTTCCTACGAGTTTTCCTTAGAACCTGAAAATTTGCAACCTCAAAATCGATGTTTCGTGCGAGGCTTCCGTCAATTTTCACCACCTCGCACAAAATGCCACGCCTGCCACGGAATTTGCACCTTGTCGCCACTTGACGCAGCCCTGCCAATGCAATTTGCAAAAAACACGCAGCACGACACGTCTAAGGTGCTGCGCCTGCCACGAAAAAATGACGATGGACACGCCCAAAGTGCTGCGCCTGCCACGAAAACTGCAACACATCTTCTGAAAACGTCACAAAAGTATTGCGCCTGCCACGCAAAACGACTTTCGACACGTTGCAGAACACGTCTGAATGTCACGAAGTGCCACGCCTGCCACGCGAAACGAAGCAACGACACGTCTGAAACCTCCAAAAATGACCACCTCTGCAGAACTTCCCATAGGCACGGCCATACGGAGTTCGTACGAACGGTTGCGAACGGTTGCGAACGGTTGCGGACGGTTGCGGACGGTTGCGAACGGTTGCGGACGCGGACGCAACGTCGAGCGAACACACTCTCAACCCCCAGACCCCCAGAGTGAAACGGGAACCCTTGCTACGCATTCGGGAAAAACTATTTAACAAAAAAAACTAAAGAAACATAAATAATAATAATAAACAAATGATTAACAAACAATGAAAAATGAAATAGATTAAACCCAAAAAATATTTTAAAAAATACAACACTATATTTAAAAAAAAACTAAACATAACAAATTGAAAAACTTACCCCCAAATCCTGGGGACACAATAGTGGCACCCTGGATCATGTCCACAGAGCCAGAACTATTTTTGAGTCTGGGGACACAATAGTGGATCCCCACACTAATCAGGGTCAAACATTACCAACGTTTACCAAATGTGACACCAACAAACCAACAACACAAGTTCACATTGGCAGCCAAAGCCCCCAAACAGCTCAGCCACCTTGCATCATAAGTGTCACTCTCTGCGGAAACTTTTGCTATCAGTTTGGAATTATACCGAGTTATACCATAAATATGATATAACATAATATACTGTGCATGGAGTATACCATCCAGTAAGCTAATTCCCATTAAATCCCATCGAATCCCGATTTGTTGATGGCTAAATCACCATGGTTAAATCCATCACCCGATTCCACAGTCGCGCTGCAGAATCTTTTGGATTTTCAACTTGGAGGAGTTCTTTCCTCAACTCCACTCCAGGCATCACATTTCGACGCGAGGAGATATGCGACACAACTGAGGCTTCGAGAAGCCAACGGAAGTGGATTGTCTGTTGGAAACATCACCCAACCATTGGATGTAGTCACAATCATGTCAAACAGTTGGGCCTGGTCGGAGTTAGGTGCCCTCCAATTATCTTCTAGATTCTATGGATCATTTATTAGTTATAACTGGTTATAAATGGGATTATACAATCTATAAATGGGGTTTTGTGAGTACTTATAACTGGTAAATGGCCATAACTGTAGATTCTATGGATCCTTCTCCCCATTAAATGGTCGTTATTCAAACCGTTGAAAAAACCGTTGATCCCCTGGTGGATCCCCCGGTTCTTGGCATCATTCGATGGTGGCCGTTGGCACCTCGTTGCTGCGGCCATACGCGGACATGGTCTCGCGGGGGACGCGAGGTGTCAAGGCATGCGCGTCATGGACCTCGGACGCGAGCGAAGGTAGAAACAAAATCGGGGGCCCCCGTTTGCGATAGCTAAGGTGGTTTATATAATGTTTATAAGTGTAACTATCAACAAGCAATGGTTTATGATACTTATAACTTCTTATAACGATAGTGAATGGTGTTTGCGAACCGACTTTTAACATCTTATGACCTGGGGGGGCACCACGTTGTAGTGGGATTATGAATCATTAATGGGATTACCATAACCCATGACTCAGGCACTTATTAACCAGTGTGATCAGTTACGATTCGTGGTAGGATCCTCCAAGTGGGGCATGATTCATTGATAAGGCACTATAACCCATAGGATCCATGTATGCTATATATGCTAACATTGGGGGTATATTGATGGTAAATATTACCATATATAGCATACATGGTGGGTAATATTGAATTCAAATGGGACTAAAGTTATCCATATTGTCAAGTGGGACATGGTGGGACTAGAATCAAAGGCACAAACGTATTGATATCATCCAAGTCTAAGTGGGACTACACCACTCGCTAATCAGTCACCCACTTCCAGGATCAAATGTGAAAAAGCTTCTTGAGTCCAAGCAACATGGAGCAACCAAAGAAGTTCTGTGGCTTTTACCGCCTCTACTACTCTACCAACCTTTGGTAAACGACCAGCACGTCTGAAATCAGGCTACAGTGCGGGAAATGATACCATCTGGTTATGACATTCACAGTTCGCCATGGAAAGATCCACCCATTTTTAAGTTTTCGGTAAACCATCTATTTCGATTAGGGCCATCGAAAAACCATGGCGAACTGTTAGTCATAACCAGGTCGGGTAATTCACCATCAAATCACCATTTATAGTGGTTAAATCCCATTAAATCACCATTAAATCACCATTATATAAATGGAGTATTAACCACCATTAATCACCATACCTAAATTTGACCGGTCAAGTCTCATGGTATCCCCCACTGGACTTGGCCACTTGGCCTGGACCCAGCCATCGGGACTTCCCAAAAAAGCCATGTTTCATAACAGGTACCCTCTGGTAAATTAACATAGACCCTGCCAGATAGGGGTTGGAAGACTAGTTTCCATTAAAAATGGGTGATTTTCAGGGTCTATGTTTATTTACCAGAGGGTAAATCCCTTTTTTCAGAAAAAAAGCCCATCAAATCCCAGAAAAAAACCCAGAAAAAAAAGCCCATGAAATCCTGACTAGATCCCTAGGACATGACCGTAAAAAAATTCGATCATGGTCCCATGATCTCCCCATGGCATGCCATGAAATTCCCATGGCAAAACTATGTTGTCTTAACAAGTTTCCCAGTAATACTATGGATGGGCCAGCGAAATCCTGCACCAGTTGATAGGTGGTAAACATCCCATATCATCCCATTATTTAGAGGGTCTCAACCATCCAAGGTGGTGCAGGATTTCGCAAGCATCCACAGTATCTCTACCAAAGGGTAGAACATCTGCAGATGTTTGATGTCTTTCTCGCCTCAGCTGCAACTGCTGGCGCTTCACTGCCTGACGAAGATTGAACGAACCCAGTCCCTGGGAGAAACCTGAGAGAATCCCAAGAAATCTGGTTGTTTTCATGGGAGTTGACCATGAAACATTGTGATTTAATAAAATTTAATCATAGTCGAATTCTCTGGTGATTCTTGGGCCAATCTACGACGGAACCGCTGGTCTGGAGATGGTAAGATGGCAAAATACGTTGCCTGAAATCCCAATATGTTGTCTCGAAATGGAACGTTTGGTTCATCATCCAAAATAGCAAAACAAATCAACAAATGGCAACGACATGGTTTATTTATGTTTGTTTCTTCCGCATTCTTGGGTGGGAATGTAGCTGAATCGATCTGAATCGGTTTACCATCCCATATCATACCATACCATATATTGCTGATGCCATCTGTCCCTAATCATGGGTAGACAACTGATACTGAGAACATGCAATCAATGACGATCGACCAATATAGCGTCCCGATTGCCACATGGCTCATACTTCACAACAACAGACTGTGAGAGTGGCAAAAGGATGCTCATCTCTAGTGCACTGCTTGATTGTCATTTGAGTCATTTGTGCATTGTTTTTCTCACTTTCTACAAGATTGCCACATGGCCAAAGATTCCCCATGAAACGGCCGCATTGGATGCGGCTCCTGCGTGCTGTGCCAAGCAACGTGCATCTACCGTTCTTCACCGAATAAGTGTACGATATCTTTAATTCCTTGCCTGTCTAACAAGGCACAGGCGCTACTAATTGTGCATTTGCTTACAGTATCTTACAGTAATATATGTATCTATATGTACTATGAAAGATACAAAACGTTGGTTGGTCGAAGTTGGTTGGGCCCATGAGAACTCAGTAGACCACTACCTTCAATCATCTTCAGGATGAGCCATCCCATATTTTGTACAACCAACCATTATATGACACTCAAGTAGTCCAACTTGGCAACGGAATAGTATCCATCTATATATTATGCGCGTTCTATTTTCCAATTCAATTAGCATCAAAAAACAAGATCACCGGAGGGTATTGGCTCCTTCTAGCCATAGTATATCACCAGTTTTGGCTAGTAAAACCATCATTGTGGTTTGCCAAACTGCATTTTCTGGTAGTGAACATGCTATACTAGACTCCATTTGACACAGTGTCTGAAACATGGCTACTCCCCAAGACTCATGCTTACAAAAAAATCAACAAAACTCAACACATTCCGATCACATTCCATTAAAATGTCTCATTTCAGTGGTAACTCGCCCCATGTTGTGGCCATTTGACACACCCCGGGCCCCATAGTCCAATCCTCGAGTGCTTGAGCGTGTCTTGCGACTGTGACGTGTTTCAGCCAGTTCCACTACCTGAGGCCGTGCTATGCTGCGCTATGGGCTGTTGATTTGATATTATATATATATAATATTATGTGTATATATATATTAATATATAATTATACTATATATATATATCATATCTTTCTTATAATATAGCAGTCTCAAAAAAGGATAGCAGTGGTACAATGCTTCTAAGATGATGTTGAATTGGGTGTCTTTCTCTTTTTTGGAGCTACTATGGGTTACCAATGTTTACTACACATATATGGTTAGGATATCAAACCAACCGTTTTAAGATGACGCAATGGGATATGATGAGATCTAGTGTAAGAATATAATAGGGGACCGTATGCCAACAAATATGTCTCTATCCATTTTCCTGTTGCATCAAATAAGCTGTGTTTGATTGGGGCTATTGAATTGAAGCTAAACAACCATGCATATTTCAAGTATTGGATACTTGGATAATTACAAGCCATAAACCATAAACCCTGTTGACAATATATATATAGTTTAAAAAAAAAAATCCGAGCAATCACAAAGATTGGGCACCTTGCATAGTGTCTCTTATGCTCTGAGACCAAATCATATGTTAGGTTTGCTTGACATTGTTTCGATGACGAACCATAAGAGTATCTACAGTAAAAGTACAGAAGCATTTTGCAACAAAAGATGTTTATGTATATCCCATGATATCCCGAATTTTTGTAGTTCACTGAAGTTCATCAGGGAACCAGTACCAACATGTACCAACTCCAACAGGCATAGTATCATGCACCCAAGAACTCATACAACATGGCCAGAACGAGGTCCAACATGGAAACGTATCAACATTCAGGAACATAACCCCCAAAATAAAACCATTTAAATGGGTATTTAACCCATTCAACGATATTAAACTATATATAGTGCATGTACGGGTTCATTGTGTGTTTGCTTCAGCAGCGTTCAGAATGATCGCTTCCCATCCCCCACTGCACCCTCTCAAGAAGACGTTGGATTTCCTGCAGGGCGAGGACCCGTGGTAGGGAGGACGTGAGAGCCCCATTGGTCATATGCTACCCTCTGGTAATGACTAACATAGCTATTGAAAATGGCCATTTATAGTGGATTTACTGATTTACCCATAAAAAATAGTGATTTTCCATAGCTATGTTAAATTACTATAGTTAGTTTTGCAAATATCGTTAACATTGGATTTTCCCATTAAAAATGGTGATTTTCCATAGCAAACTGTTAATTTCCCAGAGGCTAACTCTTCGTTTAGAGCTGAGAGTGAGGTTTCACACCTAAATCGCCCTTCAGCAATGACCAAGTAATGGATAGCTACAGTTATGGCCCGAGTTATACCAGTTATAAGTACTAACAAGTCACCCCATTTATAGATTGTATAATCCCATATAAATAACCAGAGTTATAACTAATAGCCATGGCCATAACTGTACTTTATCTGATATCTCCTTGACTGTGATTAACCGATCCTACATTCTACAAGTATGCATCATAAATCATTATTACAACAATATGGGTTTACCATGGTTTACCTGAAGATCGGCTACCCCCAAATTCGATGGTTTATGCAATGTGGGGCCCCCAACGATAGCTAAGTTGGTTTATAACTCCAATAACTATATGCTTTATTGTACTTATAACTATAGTAACTATAGTTAATGGATGTTAATGGGGTTTATAAACCAACTTATAATTGGGGGGGCCCACATTGTGATCATTTTCCCTATGAAATGGTAATCTTCATGGGAATCCCCCATGAGTCGACATCCGTCACCCGCCGTCACCGAAAACGTCACCTGGCATGTGTCGCGCTGCTCCTCCACCTGAAAACGTCGACAAACGTCAGGGGAAACATATTGAAGCAAAGATTGAACAACACATTGAACAAAACCATGCTTGAAAAACACAAATGAGATAAAATCAGAATAATTCAGATATATAATATGATTATATTATGATTTATGATGATGTTGGTGATGATGATGATGATGATGATGATGATGATCAAATTGATATGCATGGTACTATAGAGATGCCTCATTGTGAAAACACGATTTATTGGTGCCACCCTCGAAACGGTGTCATTAAGAAGAAAGGCTGCAAATAAATACAGTAACGGGGACGCGCAGGCTGTGTGGACACCCATGGACAGTTGCATCAAGATGAACAAATGCACAGAACACTTCAACAACTCTTCACAGCAATGCTTTATTTTCTGGCCAATATCTCGGTAGCTTGAAATCTGCTCTTTGAGAGTCAGCTACAAGCCATTCTTGTGGAGTAGCAGTAGACACACATCGATTTCAGTCCATCTGAGTTGCTGGGTCCTCCAGCAGTTTCTTTGAGCTCCTAGGGTCGACTTTGGCACGTTGCGATATGCCAAACTTGGGGCACAGGGCAAACTGGTAGGTGACGGTTGGTATCAACCACATCAAAGCAAAATATTGTGCCAGTGCCCTACATGTTGACACATGTCCACCTATTTCATCAAGTAAAGTCCATATGTTCTATTCATAAATGAGTAACCCATCACATTCTTAATTATCATCATGATCATCACCACCACCATCACCATCACCATCACCAACACCAACACCATCACCATCATCACCATCATCACCATCATGAACATCACCATCACCATCACCATCACCATCACCATCACCATCATCATCATCATCATCATCATCATCCTTGTCACCAAACTGAGGACCACAACCGGTATCCCTATTGTTGTATTTATCATTGCACCGGTTCGGCCGCTTCTGTTGAGGATGTGTGAACCAAATCGTTGAATGTGGAATCACAACTGCACATTTCAGAAAGAAGTGCCCATTGTTTGAAGGACCTTCCATCTTTGAGGGTCAAATCCTCATATATTTTGGATGGCATCAACCCAATGTTAGCAACATCTGGCTGCTGTTTTCCCAATTTGGGTCTAAACACGGAGGATTTACACCTAAGATATTGGCATTTCAAAGGGGGAACATGAAAAAAAGGTGTTGTCCCTAAGTTTCCTGACACACCCACATTGGCTAGTTGCAGTTCACCCTATTTTTCAATGTTTGCAATCCCCATTTAGGTTGATGGCAGGTCTCATGAAAACTCCATGAACAAATGCCTTATTTACTGACCATTTGATTTCTATTGGTCCAGTTTCACAACCACTAACAACCACTAACTTGGTCCAAATTCCACGCTACATCACGCTACCACGTCCATCATCGAAGCCGTTTTCCAAGGCCAAAGGCGTCTCCGCCGTCTCCTCGAAACGTTCTTCAAAGGAGTCCCTCAAGGCGCACACTTCCTGACGCTGCGAGGCCTCCCCCTGCAGATTTCTGGGAACTGGACAGTCAGGCTAGAAATGTGGTAAACCCAATACAAAAAAAAACACATCTACCCTCTGGTAAATTAACAGTTTGACCCTGAAAATAGCCTAGTTTTAATGGAAACTCATCTTCCAAGCCCGTTTTCTGCCAGGGTTTTAAACCATGACTGGAGGTCACAATGTTTTCATCATCCAATTGGAATCGGAATCCCTTCATAAACCAAACTGGAGATGATTAGATTTATTATAGATTTACCACAAATAGAGGCTATGGATTAATATGACGTAATACATAGGAGTCATAGGAGTTTAAAATTGGTTTCACTCTTTCTATCACCTCTGGATGTATTGTCTATAGATCTAGTAGAGTAAAGGAAACATGTAGCCCAACATGTACTGTAACACTTGCATTCATTCTCAAACAGACCGCGAGGGATGTTAGATAACAGTTGCAAGCGATGACACGCACAGAAATATTCTAAACGTGTCCGTAGCTTTCCAAGGATCATAGCGACCTGACTCTGCACCATGACCTCTACATCAGGCAAGTGGTTAAGCAAAAACTCTGTAGTAACCCTTTAGATGGTTTATGCTATCTAGAATGGCGAGCAACCATATTTATTAGCATTACGCCCAGGATGATTGCTCCTTAACTCCATGTGTTGGTCGGTGTCCCCATGATGTTTGTGTGCTTGACTCGTCACTTTACTAGCGCTATTAGGTGGGATGAACACCAAGTCAGGGCTATGCGTTTGACACATTGAAAAAAAATGTTTGTGTTCAGCAGCAAAGCAACATCCTCTTCACATTCCTCCAAATAAACGTGGCTAAACGTGGCTTCCTCCAAAAATCTGCAAGAATCTCATATATGTTATAACCACAAACAGCAGTCAATTCCCCCACTGTTTTGGTGCCTGTTTCAAGGTCTCCAAGTCTTGTTGCATCTCCGCGCCTCCGAGACCATCGGTTTGCAACGAAAAAACATGTCCCATATCCAAGTTGTAAACAAAAAATGACATACTTATTAACCATATGTATATATATATATATTATATGTATAATAATTATATTAGATTATTATGAATTATGTATGTTCTTATCTATTGATTTATAAACTTACCCGGTTCAGAGATCATCCTTATATGTAATCCCCAAGTAATCCCCAAGCGGATGTAAACAGGGCTGACCTTATGGGTCAAGTCATGAGCTGGTCTCCCCTTGGAAGGGTTGAATCCCCTCATTTTGCAGCACCTCCGCGTTCGCCGCGGCGTTCGGTATCTCCACGTTGGCAAAGTTTGGGCGTCGGAGGGGGCTTGCTTGGAATGGCATCCTGGAGACCAACGAGGATGCGAATTCCCCACTGTTCAATGGTGGTAGTATGGTACAGTAAATCAACTTCTATCTATATAGTGATATACCGTATACATCCGTATACCCTATATTGTGCACTATTAATTATTGGGGATGGTTTCTGGCACTGGGTTTACCTCATTAATCTGAGTTTGGGAAATAAATATGTTCCCTTGACTTTCAAACACATCCCGAGAAGTCGGAGAAAGTGATTTGGGGAGGTTTGAGGCTTCAAACACCTTGCTAGGAGGTGTTCGGAAGTACAGGGATTGTGGTTTGAGTCCGGAAAAGGTGCAACACAAGCAAGGGTATACCATGCACACCATCAAATGCCTATTCTTTGACTGTCAAGTTGGAACCACATGTCAGTAGGCCAGTACTGTTGGGGCCACAGCACAGCAGTTTGTTGGACAGCATTGGTCAACGCGTTCCATAAAGGCAATCTGGGTTCGAATCTGCCATCCAGCTGGGACAATAAATTTCCTACATCACCATCATGATCCTTGACGTGTTCGCATTATATCTGGGTCCAAATTCGCTATCCCTATAATTAGATGGTTACGACATGTTGTGACTAAACAAGACAAACATATGTGGTTTTTCACGGCCTTACTATTGACCTACACCCATGTCCACTTTAAGTGTTAAAGTGTATAAACCAACTGATTTTTTTTGTTGGGCATCCATCTCACATGACAAATACTGTACATTGCTTGGTGGCTTGGTGGTTTCAACCCCAACGTTCGGATCAGTTCGGGCTCACCATAACAGGAATGCATATGGGATGGAAAACAACCATCTTTGACACCACCAAACTCTAGTTTTGAATCATTCTATCTCCCAAATAAAGGAACATGATATGATATATAGATGCACATGATATGTATATATATATATATCATATATATATATATATCATATATAGCTATGTAATGTTATACATATATATATATAGTTTAGTTCCCGATCTTACCATATTTGGGTTACCATAATTGAGGCTACCCACATGACATCTGCCAAAAAAAAAATAATGGTTCCGTCACACGGCACCTCAAAACCACGAGGGTAGGTATGCGTGGGAGGCTCCGGCATCCTTGGGAAACCATGTCTGTTTGGGATGGGATGGGGTTTCCCATCATGATTTCTTGGGCACAAAATTTGAACGGAAGAAACAGACGTTTGTGAAACAAAGGAGAATCACCCGACCTCAGGTCGGTGACTTGGACTATATTTGCTGGTTAAAAGACAATGTGTTTGTATATGTTTAACGAAAAAAAAACATATATTACCATACAAACAAACCAAACAAACACATAACAAGTATATATATATAATGTTGTTTTGATATGAATTTTGATTGTGAACATCCAAACAATGTTACATGGTACAACACATTGGCGCTGGCCCCGCCTCATGGTCTGCATCAAGGCCTGTGGTGGGATCCCTGAGGGCGACGGAGCACCCGCAAAGGCCTAGCGGAGAATGTGGAGAAACCCAGAAAGCAAATACTACCCTCTGGTAAATTAACATAGACCCTGGCAGATAGGGGTTGAAAGATTAGTTTCCATTAAAACTAGGCTATTTTCAGGGTCTATGTTAATTTACCAGAGGGTAAGTGGTGATTTACAAATTCAATGCACAGTATGACATACCACATTGTATATACATTATATATACACTATATATATAATTATATATACGTAGTATTGTACAAAAAATCAAATAAATACAAAACATAGTATATGTCTCATAAGTAGGCCATGTCAGTCTCAAAGCCAGATGATGTATGTAGATAATGTATCAAAATCATTACGATTACTAGTATGTAGATGCAACCGCAATACATAGTATGTATCATATGTGAAGTATATGTATGTATATATATACAATGACAAGCAAAAGTCCAATATTTCAGGAGTGGCAAATTGATCACCCCTCCTCTACTAACGATAAATAACTCTTTATATATATATACATATATCATATGTTCATACAAAAGAATCATATATACACTACATACATATCTTATAATTATATATACCACTACACACAAAAAATATTATAATATATATATATATCAAAAAATAGTTACAGTAAACCCAGTTAAACCCAGTTAAACCACAAAAGACCACGTCGCGGCGCGACGACTGCGCGTAAAAAATGCCTCCGCCTCTTCGGAGTCGGGATCTGGCGACCAAGTGGACGTGTCGAAGGCGTGACAAGTGGTATATCTATCCAATATATTTTGTATGTGTATATATATACATACTATGTATATATATATATATACAAATATGTATATAATATATACTTTATATAAACATATATGTATATAAACACTAAATATCATATATAAATAAATGTGCATCCTATACAACCAATGTATATGTGTATATATTGTATATTTATGTGTATATATATATATATATATCCAAAACATTCCAATATTGGATCACCAATAGCAATGATTTCGACAGAAAACAGTGGGAATATTGGTTGAGAATACCTCGAGAAAAAAACAGTATGTTTTCATAAACAATTGTCCATCGCAAAACGTGGGACGTACCACAAAGTGGGTCCCCTCAGTTCTAAGTTGGTTCAGTTGCAATGAACATACATATGCACAAATCCAAGTGTCGAAATATCAACCATAAAGCCAGCTGTTAGCGTAGTTACGAAGGAACTGCTACCCATTTTGGGCAAATCACCAACAGGATGAAATTGAGTTCCTGTGAAATACCTGCACATGGAAAATTTGGGAGCAACCATGGCTAGTACATGATTTGGGAGCCCTCTGGCTTCACTTCCTGACTTCGCGACTTCGCCTTGCATTTTACTCCAACTCCGGGCAAATCCGGCAGGGTCCTGCAGGTAACATATGGGAACATCCGAGCAAATTTCTTTCCATCTGAACTATATCATAACTTTTTCTGGAACATGTTCCATAGTTACTAGATGTTACCGGCAATTTCTGAACATATCTGAACTATCCATAACTTCTTCTGGATGCCATCTGTTGAATCCACCCTCCCCCAATCGCCCGCTTCGCTCGCTTCACCTTGGGCTTCCAACAAGACTGAGGCAGCCTCCCTCCGCTCCTCAGAGCCTAGCCGCAACGAAGAGGCGAATTTCATCGCTCCAAAGATGGAAACACTCGACAAAACTGTGAGCAAACTAGGAGAAGTGGATGGACATGTGCGTTTTCTTTGTGATTTAACATGTTTTAAGCAGCTAAGAATGACATGAATAACATAAAACAAGCGGCATCTCTCTCAAAAAACAAGGATTTCAACATATATTTGTCCCATTCAAATTGACCCGCTTTAGTTGTGATGCTCTTTTAGTCAGGGTGTATCTTCCAAACACAATCTCTAATACATTGACACGATGTATACATATTTTTTTCAACACTATATGCCCTGCAATAAATTTGCATCGTATGGCATAAACATGTTTGTTTCGCATGTAAGTCCACCATTTGTTGACCATTTCCTTCGGCAGTCCTGGTACCTCTTGGCAGACCACGTCTACAATTGGGACACCACACAATTCCGGGCCAAATTACTATACGGTAGTTCAATTGAAGAACAAATGATGACTTTGAGCTCATATGGGTGCATCTAAAGAATAGGAAATTTACTATGGGATTTACAGTCTACAGTACCCCCCCCAGTTTTGGTCGTTTCAAGAAGGACAACGGTGATTCATCAGTGGATCAAACGGGGTACCCAGTGGGGGGTTCCTAGAATTGGGGGGGTACCCAAAAATGGATGGTTTATAACCCATAGGATCCATGTATGCTATATATAGTAACATTATGTAACATTTACCATCAATATACCCCCAATGTTAGCATATATACCAGCACCATGGATTTCATGGGTAATGGAACATCCCAATAGTTGATATTAATTTGGATGATGCCTGGGGTTCCCCCCATGACTTTGGAAAGCTCCATGTCTTTTTAAACCACGGAGCTGGCCTTGATTGATCCGGAGCCGGCGTCCTGGCTTCCATGGTGGGTTAAAGCTCCATCTGTGGTGAACATGCCTGAAATATCCTGAAATAAAAAGATTGCCTTGATTCTTGATGTGTTGGATTGTTTTTCTGGACTTGGGATGTAAACTACCACCCATCTTTAACAGTGTTTCCGAGATTGAACCATATCCACATTGCTTTTAAGTGGATTTAGGAGGACTGCAGCCCTTTTTTTTTCGGTTCAACATGAAGCTGTCTTCATGCATCCATGGTGCCAATGGCTACAGTATGCTACAGTGATTTGCTGCGTGCTGCATCCAAATTGCCGCAGGTTTCTGCAGTCCAAATGTCACAGCTCAAAAGAAATAGCTATGGCAGGTTCCCGAAAGCATTTGCGATACAACTTTGGTTGGTTTTGTGTCTCCATAGTTGTCAAATGTGCCCTCCCTTGACACCGGAAGAAGCGCGCCTCGAAATTTAGGTGTTGGAAGATCAGAACACCGGGGGATGGAGACCTGCAGATGGGGTTCATGAAAAACTCCAATTATATGTAGTAACATATATATATACATAATATTTGGAGTTTTTATATGCATTATATGGTTATATATGGATAATATATATATAATTGGATACAAGATATGGTACTCCATTATATATTTGTTATAACCATGGGTACCATATATAAAACATAATATACAATACATGATAATCATGAAGTTCCCCCTATATAAAAAAAATATATTGGTAAATTATAATAGTTCACTAACCTGAATGAAGGCAACTATTCACTTCAAGAAAGGTGCCTCCCCTAACGCCATTTCGGGATGATTTCCCTTATTAACCATGATTCCAGGGTTGGGTCGCAGTGAGGTCGTTATAATTTACCCATATATATATATATACACAGAATACAGACAGTATCTCATATACATATATATATACATACACAGTATATCATATATATATATAATTATATATATATATACATAATATATAATGTGTATATATACAGTATATATATATATCATTATTACTATCATTATTATATATATATATTATATATATTCCCATATCTCATCCAAGTTTCTGGTCAGGTTTGAACCCCCACATGGCTCACATGGCTGTAGCAGACCGCCACCAATTGCAATGGCACGACTGGGTCACTGATTGGCCCATTGGGTCCATTGGAAATTCATAGGAAGGCCATAGGAACACCATAGGAAACCTTAGGAAAATGATGATGGCCCAGTCGAAATAGTGGATTTACCCATTGAAAATGGTGGATCTTTCCATCGTTTTTTGTATGTTTACCAGAGGGTAATCCCCATCAAATCCCACTATAATCCAATAATGTCCTTTTGGTAAAAATAGAGGGGCCGGGAGCTGGTATACCATCTATCATCATAGAAACCTGTTGTTAAAGGGGTTTGTTCAAACCCATCTATTAATCAACCAACTAATGGGAAAAGGACATCTATGTTTCCAACATGTTTTGAAGAAACTAACTGCTTATAATTAAGAAGCTGATGGAAAATCAGATTAGAAAATTGAAGCCAGCATAAGCAGGGTGATAGAAGTTGCACACATAACACTATCCATCATTCTATGTCTTAGTATGACTTTCATGATTATACTAAATTCTAGAAACCATAAAGTACTGTTGATCTGGAAGTGTGAAAAAAACTGCCTTGTCCCATTAAGTTTGTGATTAATATCTGAATGAAATAGGACCATCTCAACCTCATAGAACATACAACATGACCACACTTGATCATGTTTCACGTGTTTTTTAGTCTGCTAAAACACAAAGAAACATCGATGCTATGTTAGCCAAATGATATCAAATATATGATATCACCGAACACTCCAGCACTAGGACTATGTCAAATATCTATAAACCACAAGTCACGCAGATTTTTCACTCACATCTACTTATCTTGGGTGACGATAAGTAGTACTGTGTAACCCGACTCTACCTCGGGGCACATTGGAGCTTACCAATTATCTTGATCCATTTATGAACCTGATCCATATTGAATAGTTTTGAATAGTATTCTCATCATGATCCCATTACAATCCCATCGTTGACGATTCGGATATTTCTAGTTCTACCTCCAGCTCCTGATCCAGCCTAGCTGCCCTAGCTATAGACCCACCATGAAACTTGGCGAATGCTGAAATTCCGTAGAACTCACCAGTCCAATCACCTCCTTGAACAGGATCTCCCGGATGGTATCCTTGGTGATACCGGGTTTTTTCAAGTGTCTCCCGAATGGAACTTCTGTAGATATTTGATGAATCCCTGCTGGTGTCATTCTGATGTTGCTCCATCATTTCTCTTGATGGACTCACTTCCGACAATCCGTAGAATCAGTCAGAATATCATCTGAAACTGGCATAACACCTCCATTTTTAGCGTGTCATTTAAATGAAAATGCTTCGAATTCTCCTTGAAAGGCCATATGCTATGACAATGGGCCCATTCCTGGATCGTCTTATTGTCAGTGACCCTCTACATGTAGAGGTTTCCTAATGTTTCCTAAAATTGGGCTACCCCACAAATCATCAAGAAGATCTTCTTGGGTTTTCCATGGTTTTCCATTATAAATCCACCATTTATTTTGAGCCAAATATCATCGATTTACAAAAACTGCTGGGATTTTCAAGTCATCTGAGAAAAGGTGGTCGTCATCCTGAGAACCTGAGAACCCCAATCAACTCACCGAGGAGCCAGGTCATTTGCGGTCGTCTTGTGCAGACCCTCCACTTTCAGCGACAAGGTCTGGCATCACGTGAACGTGACTGGTTTAGCATGGTGACTTTGCAGTACTCATCCCTTTCCCCTAATATTAAACACCTAGGAACCGTGAATTCGTGAGGAATTTCCACATCATTGGAACCAATAAAAGAGTGTGTGAAATAAATTTCATATTGGAGGGATGGGACTAGTCTTAGTTAAAAATTAATTCCCGAAACTGCAAATCGGCCAATATATTGTGTTGATGCTAATGATTCCATATGATTCCCCGGTTTCCCGCATCCATTTCGGGCCATTTCGGGCCATTTCGGGCCAGGTCCGAAATGGAAGTCCCTGCTGTACCTGGATGTTTTGCTCACAGCTCTTGATCCTCGGAGGCCAGTGGTGCTGCGTCACTACGCCTACAGACAAGTTTTTGCTCTGCTATTGAAAGAAACAACACTGAAACATCCGGACATGGGAACTAGAAGTGAATGGAAAATCAACAGTGGTTGAGTTGATATCACCATTCAGTACTTAGGAGGAGGACCTAGCAACAACTCGAGGGTTATTCGTGTGTTATCATTTCAAACTGACTTGCATCAAGTGGCTGAATGGAGAAACATGCTACCAAGTTGAAAAAATGACATCCAGCAATTCATGCCCTTGCTAAGCGCCCCGACGCAGTCTTGATGTACCTCAAGGAGGAAATTGGTGAGTTGTGACCGTCGTTGATCCAACGAGCTTGTGGCAAAATGAACATGCTTTTGCAAGCTCGAACCACCTAGTGTAGGTCAATTGTTCGGATATTAACCCTTTTCCAGGATCCATGTATGCTATATATGGTTCCCATCAATATACCCCCAATGTTAGCATATATAGCAGCACCATGGATCCTATGGGTTTTGGGAGAACCCAAGATAGTCTTTTGTGGCGCTTCTGAACGGATGGCTTGAAACCTCCGAGCTTGGGATGGAGAAGAAAAACACGACAAATCCACCAACAAATGTCTTGTCCACTACGGGACACACCGTATTCCAACCCCGATTTTCTGTACATAATTACTTGGAATCTGGACCCCCAAAGGGTAGAACGTGAGGCTTCACCATCAACCAAACCTTGTTTTGTATTGTAAATGTTGTCTCCATGAAACCGCTGATAACTTGCCGATGATCCCTAGCTTGAGTGCAAGATGTTGCATGAAAAATCAATCGTTGCAAATAGACGTTCAGTCCAAGTGGCTTCTTTATGCGCGAGATGCGACCGTTGGATTCCTGACCACCAGGTCAGAGTTGCGATGGGTGACCAGGTATGGAAAAGACTTGAGATGACTTGAGATATGTTCATGGGAACGTAAATGGTGGATATACTAAATATGTCTCACGTATAGTGTGAACTAGGCGAGTTAACTCGCGCAACTCCACAAGAAGTTTGTGGAACTCATTGAACAATTCCAAGCCACGAACGTTGCTATGACATCCCAAAGGACCATGCATCGCTAGTATCCGCAGGGTTGTTGACATCACTTATATAAGTTCAATTGCCGAGGGCACAAGAGTTTGGTAGGCTATGTGCACATGTGTCTGTCAATGACAGTCATGACATTGTCCTTTAAGTGTTGAATATAGATATATAAGCAATATTAGAACCCCACGTCCATTGTTCAATTAATTTACCATAAACCTTCCATGGAATACTGTATCCTTCATCCACTGGCTAATATGATGCCCTCGTATCCACTAGCAACATGCGAAGCTGGCGTTCCTCGTCATCTCGTTGCTCCGGTGCTAAAGACTCCTGCGCAGGAACAACTACAGGTGAAAAGGAACGGACTATCCGCATGATTCAAATATCTTCATAGATGCATTCATATGTTCTCTAGTGTCTTCACCTCGCTATTGACTGTCACAATTTGGAATATATATAAATATAATATATAATCCATATACAAAATTTATTTCTCTCCCATATATATATATATGTATATATATATGTATATATATATGTATATGCGGCGGTAGGCGCTAGACCTGGAACGCCGCAGTGCAGGCCATAACTTTTCGACCCAGGGATGCTCAGAGATTTGTAATCGAAGCCCAAGATGATCTGGTTGGTGGTTGAGCCACCCCTCTGAAAAATATTGGTCAAATGGGATGATTCTTCCCAATATATGGGAAAATAAAAAATGTTCAAACCACTAATCAGCCAAGATGATCCAATAAATTGGCTTTCGAGGCTCCATTTTGCAGGTGAAAGATGCTGAAAGTATAGACATGTATAGACTATATATAGTCCTCCATGCATGCCCAAAGATTAATCTATGAAGCAACCATTCAACAACTTAACTTTGCCCAATGCATATCATGAAATCGGCATCGTTCAAAACCCTGGTACCCGGGTTGACACACAACAGAAACGCTTCAACATGCACATTCATCTCTGGGTTGTATAATCATGTATAATCGACAACCAAGAACTATCATCAAACATAAGTTTAAGGGAAGGTTACCTATGGTTCACAGTGGACACATCATGATATATCTATAGTATGCTATAGTTGAATGGGTTTACATATATATATATATATATCATATATATATATATCATACATATATATATTATAAACCAACCGACATAACTGGGGGGGCCTTGATGAGGCATGGAAACCCCTCCACCCACCCAGCCTCTTCAACGTCCAGCTCATGGCCTAGACACATGCCGCACAAAGTGACTTGAAACCACCAAAATTGGGGACTCGGAACCCGTGTTCAAATTGTGCTCATACCTATCTGCATCTACTTCATTTTATCTCATATGGCACATGGTCGCTGAAAGCGTCACGTCGTGGTCACAACTATCCCACTGAGCTTCGCAGCCTTCAAGATCACTTTGGCAGCAATCAGCCTCCCTTGGGGAGCTTTAAAGCAACTAACATCAACTAACTTCATCATGTCAGCTCGCCCATGGTACCCCGCCCAGCTGGGACTTCCCGGCAAAACCAGAGGTAGTTGGTCTTCCAGCCCACAGACGCCACGTCCCGCAGGATGCATTGGACGCACAAGACCTCGGAGTCTGCCATGCTTGGCGCTTGGCGAGTTGGGTGTGTGACGCAACAAGGCCGCAACAAGTGTCAATGTTGTCAATTAAAACAACAACTTATACCGTTGCGGTAGGATGATCTGCCAAGAAAGAAACACAAAGGAGTCCTGACATGTTGCTGACCTGACATATCTGACATGCTGACCCATGCACAATGGGGACAAGAAGGCCATCCATGTTGAAATACGATCCCATCGTCCCCTTGCCACCATGCTCAACACATTATCCCAACATATCGGCATAAACACAGAATCACACAGGACTTACTGAGCAATGAAATACAAACACATCATATATCATACTGACTGCAAGTAAATAGTGTCATCAAAATAATGAATAAACCCATGATAAATAAATAAAACATCACAAATAAACACATACATTTTGAATCATTTTGAAACACTGTATTTGCTTTAATGATGTTCATGTGTAGTGTTACAACTATCATCATCATCATCATCATCATCACCATCATCATCATCATCATCATCATTTGAGGCATCCCAACCGCAGCTGCAGGGAAGATGGCCTTGTTGAAACGGCGGAAACGGCGTTTTTGATTTCAACGCTAGGGTACTGGGGACGATGGGAGCGACAAAAACAGGGTACCGTCCATGCTGAGGTACTGAGAGTATCTCTATAGATAAAAGGAAACATCTATTTTTCAAAGAAATACATGTACCCTCTGGTTATGACTAACAGTTCGCCATGGTTTTTCGATGGCCCTAATCGAAATAGATGGTCTACCGAACTTAAAAATGGATTTTCCATGGCGAACTGTTAGTCATAACCAGAGGCTATCTCTAGATGCTGAATCAATGGGCCTTGCTGTACTTCAGAGTTGGGGGAATGGAGCTGACATTCCCAAATGACCAACAGAAAGGTGGGAACAAATAGAATTGTAAGTTAATTGTAAGTAAAACATTCAGTGAAGAGGAAAAGAGATATGAACATCAGAATGAGTGTTTTCAAATACCCGGAGGGCGTAGCGAGTGAGATGGGCGGCTAAATGGCTGATTCGCACATGGAAAACCCATCGCTAACGAACATGCACAAAGGAGGTCTGGTTGGTGGTTTCAACCCCTCTGAAAAATATTGGTCAATGGGAAGGATTATCCTATATATTATGGAAAATAAACATGTTCCAAACCACCAACCAGAGGTGGCATGACAACTTGATCAGTTCCGGGTTCCTGTGACACAGGATGTTAGAGGACATTAGCAAAATTCGCAGAATTTCCAGCGATATTTCGCGACAACTGCTGGTTGACTGAGCGATAAACATCTCAATCATTGGTTTCAGAGTTTTTCAATGGGGGTTTCCTAAGTCATGGGGGAGATCCCGCAAAATGGATGGTTTATAGTGGAAAATCAATGGAAAATCCAATGGTTTTCACTCTTCACAAAAAAACAACTCATAAACCATGACTAGTGAATGGTGTAACAGAAAATCCACTGATCTGGGATCCGACACCAACTTGCCCCAGCATGCCCCAGTAATCCAAGTCACACTAACCCACAGAGTCAAGAAAGACGACTCCGTGATGCCTGTGCCAATGTGGCACAGTGTCCACACATGTCCCATACATGTCCCCACTTAGTTGCTGCCGCTTTATTTCAGACAATGCTGGGATATTGTTGGTTGAGGTGACAGTGACCAATTGCAATCCCTGATGGCTTCAAGATGCTTCAAGAGGAACATGAGGTACCCCCCGGGGCAATGTCCGTTGCTAAACGCAATTGGATCAATTTTTGCAGGAGAGAAACTTGCTATTCCCAGATATTCCCAGTTTTTTGATTGTCTGAAACTAGGATACCTCGGATACCCTCCTTTTGTGCATGGTTGCTGGTCACGTTCCCCTAATTGAATTTGAAAAAGCCATTTTAAGGGCAATCACCTTTGATGCACCCTCTGTCTTAAGGGAGATTTTACACGGACATGTCCGGGCATGTCTTGGGTTCGTTCTATTTATAGGTCCCTCACCTTCCAGTTGCCTGTCAGATAGGTCACCAACACCAATTTCATGTTTGGTAAAATCACCTTCCAGTGATTTATCCCAGAGGTAACTGGAAGGTTGGAACAGTATATAAAGATCTCGATTGATTGTGTCTTGATAGATAGGCTTTATGACTTCAACGACTGTTAAGTTTGTGATGGATTGAACTAGATGGTAAAGCTAGAAGCCAGCTTTTCTGGATTCACCTAGAGACTTAGCCATTGGCGGAGAAAGTTGATGATGCGCTGGCACGCTCAATGGATTAGTGTAGTTATATTCTTCTGGACAAAAAATCAAATAGCATATACAGTATAAGATAACTCACTAACCTTCGAAGTTCGGCTATTCTGGGATAGCTATCCAGTTCTCCTATCCAGTTCTCCGATCGTCATTCAGGTGAAGTCGAAGCGAGTCGAAGCCCATGGCCCCGTACCATCCCCTGCTCGGTGACATGTATATATTCATATATATATATATAAATATATGCTGTATACCCACATTCTCCAAGTACCGATAAAAAAATAGGTACAGGTACAAAACATATGGGGCAATATACCAATTTTGTGGGTACTTGGAGGGTCTAGGTATATAATGGTATATACAGAAAATAATACAATAAATAATACAGTACAGCAACATAGTACAACAATGAAAACACCTCCTCACAAAACACAAATACAACATGATACAACACAGTTCAGTGGCAATAAAACAGTCAAGTACATAAACATCTTACATATTATTATATATTATGATGTAATGTCTTTAAGGGTATGCAACTAGGTCAGGCTTCAATCCTGGTTCATAAGATACACGTTCAAAACCAAGTGCTTTTAAATCTTCTTGACACTCTTTGCTGTGATGAACACTACAGTGAGCATCTAATTGGCGACTGAGTTCCAATACTTTAGCACCAACTTGCAAACTTGCTGGGATAATTCCATGCCCTTGACAAAAACCCCCTCAAAATATGGGACCCCGATACATGACATGTATCGGGAAATCATGGGAAAGGCTTCAACCGCGGTGGATTCATGTCATGGCATCCCAGTTGCCGTAGAGCAATGCCACATAGATGCCAGGGATGAGAACCTTGGTGTGGTAAAACCACGGTGATAGGTGAGAACTGCGGTCATAGCATTTGGACACATTTGTTGTCATTTTGTTAAATATTTACTTATCGACGTGAGTTAAGTGAGGTGTTTTTTCAGCCCACCAAACCATACATTTTGGATCCATTTGGACATACCCTCTGGTAATGACTAACATAGCTATTGAAAATGGCCATAGAAATAGTGGATTTACCTATTCAAAATGGTGATTTTCCATAGTTATGTAAACGTTTACCAGAGGGTATTTATTTAAATTCTCCAAGGGAGGTGTATGAAACCCACCACCGAGGTTTCGACTTCTACACAGCCGCAGTCTCACCGGCGGAGTGCGGAGTGAAACGTCGTAGTACCGCACCCCAGAGTGAAAGAAACCCAGAATAAAAAAAAACAGACTATTAGACGGCGGTATATATGAATGTAATTGAATATATTATATTAAATATATTGTATATATATATATATGATCTATGATATAATATGATATATTATAATTATTATATATATGTATATTATATATATATATATGTATATATATACTGTATATATATATATACTGTATATATATATATATAATATGTTAAACAAAATGTCCAAACTGTTTATGAGTAGCAAGAACTGGGCTCTGACTCTAATGCTGAAGATTTTCCAAGTTCGTGTGCCATTAAAGCTGGATCCCCAGAGATCTGTCTGAGGCTAAGTTTTGGCTGCAGAAAACGACTCTAAGAGTCCAGAACTTGATATTCCTCCTGTGGGGAACAACATTTACCATCTGGTAAACATACAAAAACCTATTGAAAATGGCCATTTATAGTGAGTTTTCCCATTAAAAATGGTGATTTTCCATAGTTACGTTAGTTTACCAGAGGGTATATACCATCCTCTGGCGGTTTTCCCAGAAGGCTTTCCATTGAAAACGCACCGCGTGGGACTGTAGGACCGCGTGCAGCCCAAAGGCTATCAAGAACCACCAGCGCCACCAACTGAGCTTCATAATTCCCTGACCAGCTGGGACTGGTGAGAAATCATGACTAGAACTGAAGGTTTCACTTGGGATATCTGAGTCTACCACTGGTGAAAAACCTACAATCTGGATAAGAATCAGCACACATACCATTAATTCACAATCCCAAATTCAATCATGCGTTGATCTCATCAATATACCATCCATTGATTGAATCGATAAATATGCCATTCATTTGATCGATACGTATACCATCCAGCAATGATTTTACCATCCATTTAAACACTCCTTTGCTCTAAGAGGATGGGATGGTAAGTTTACCCACAATGTGGCGACATCTCATACTTGGGAAGAAACTGCACAACATATCACGACATACCTCTTGTAAGTCAAAGATCATGACTATCTGGAAAACTCTGCCATGAAATTGCTGGATTTACATGGATTTACCCAGATGGCCACGTTCTGACCTCTGATCATTTCTGGCTTCTTCCCAGGCGGGGAAGATGCGTGCCTTCTGGATGAACCCGAAGCCAGACGCTTTGATCTTGGGACGGAAGAAGTAGCTACTGCCTGGGGCAAACAACAGCCTTGAGGTCAACGCACGTGGCACACGTGATGGAATGATTGTGTTTTCTGTATATATAACTATATATATATACATGAACATTACATATGAGGTCATATGAAATATCTGTTCTGATCATATTCCAAGTTCAGGGCTGGGCCAAGAAGATGGATCAGGAACCCTCCGATTTGGATCTTGTTCGCTTTTCTGACAAGTTGGGTGTTTCACCAGAAAATCCAATAAGATCACCACCAAGACCACCAAGACTAAAATCTTCCCTGGTGCCTCAACGGAACTGGTGGGCTGGTAGTGTTCAAAGGTTCCCGATGTTTCCCATCAATAATCACCGCTCTCTTCTTGGAACTGAAACCATGAGTTGCTAACCTTTTTCTTGCACAGGAGTTTCCCTGAAAAATGTGGTGAAAAAGGCCATAAATCCATAAACAACTACCATTTCGGGATGATTTATAATAGCCCTTTTTTGACTCGTTTGGGGATGGTATAAATCACTCGGCGGCCCCACAGATGCGCGCGCGTTCCTTCAAGAAGGTACAGACCTCAGAGGCGATGCCCCTTGCTGTCTGCAGTCTGCCTGTGTGCAGGCTGCTATATCCCATAGGATCCATGGTGTTGGTATATATGCTAACATTGGGGGTATATTGATGGTAAATGTTACCATATATAGCATACATGGATCCTATGGGTATGTGAGTGTGCGTATGATTCTTAAACACATTATAATATACAACAAATGAAGACTGATCAAACAATACAATGGGCAATACATATACAGTTCATATACATATATCGTCGGAAAAAACATGTAGGAAGTACACGCGGACTCTTGCACATGGCAAACATTGTTTTACATAAAATTCTCTCATTTGGATACCACCTCCATCGGGACATTCGTGAAAGCTGTCTCAATGCCGTTTGCTGAAGACACGATACGGAACTGCTGTGTTCACAATTCTTGTTGTAAAACCTCTATATGCAAAATAGTCACCAGCTGTGGTTTTTCAAAAACACATTTCAAACAAACACACAAGACCTGGAAGAAATGCCAGTAGGGAACGGATCGAACGTGGGGTAGCAATTTGATTCAGATGTTTCTATGGCATCTTCACCAAAATCATCCACTTTGCACATGGACATACCAATTTGCGGAGGGCAACCTCACAGAATCTGCCTGGCCTTTTGAACATCGGCACCTGGCTTAGCTTTGGCTTCAAAACATGATTCACTTGAAACGAAACAGCAGATATGTCAGAATGTCTGCCCGACCCTACGACAGGATAATTTTCACAAGATTAAAAACAGGGTATCCCCGAAAGGCATCTTTGAATAACATCGATCAAACATGTGGAAGCATTGACATTTGTATCAAACTAAGCAAAATACACTAACAAGCTGATGATAGTTGCATGTTCAAAAGCTCGCATTTTCTGTTGTGTATTTAGACTATCTATTTATAGTGCTCATGTTGTTTTTAAATAGCATTCTGTGGTATTCTGTGACCAATGCGGACTACTCAAGACCAACCCAAACAAAATCACATGCGTCCCGTTCAAAAACCCAATTATTGATGCTAAATCCATCACCAAAATTAAAGGTAATGGATAATAATTGATATTTGCTACGAGTAACTTTGAATAATCATTATATATATATAGTTTCTGTTTATGTTGTTTAAATGTGTCTTACAGTAGTCCCAATTCAAGTTCACCATCATCATTTATGGTTGAATGGCTTATATCCCAATTGGTGATGGTTTATAGCTAACCCAGTCATTATTTTATCATATTCATGGTTATACTGTTATACTTATGGTTGATAGTTAACCCCATCATTATAAAGCCAATGTTTTAACCATAGTCATAGTAGTTATGGTTGATGCTTCAATTATCCCCCCATCATCATGTCCTTCCACAGGGCCCACGCCATCCTCTCTTGCTCGTGATCATAACAGTCTGACAGCACCGCTATGAAGACATTGATGGTACCTATGGAAACATGGAGCTTTCAATGGAAAAAAAAGACAAACTATGGAAAAAACAAAAACTATGGGAAAATGGGAACGCCATCTATAAACGATGATATGGAGGTTTCAATGGAAAACAAGTATGGGGAAATCATCTATCACTGGAGGTTTCTGGCTGGGAAAATCCCGAAGTGATCTGGATCAAGGATCATTATCGTCTTTTAACATAAGATAAAACTCAGGTTGGATAGATGGGTCATATATAACTTCAAATATGGGTTATAAAGATCGGCTATAGATGGGTTACATCTATGTGTATACATCGTAGTAAACTTTACATGAAGCGCATGGGCAAAAAAAATCATCCCAACCATCTCAACATCATGACCTTACACGATAGTCTTGGTTCTTGCCAGAACGCTGAAAAAAAAACACTCAAAGCTCAGACACATGGATTTGCCCAAACAAATCTGACGGAAAAATAATCAATGTCCAAAGGCTTACGACTGCAGTTTTCCATTTTCCCGTTAAGACAACAATTTTGGAATTTCTCCCAATTCAAACCACCATTTATCATTTGGGATATTTTTTGTCCCCATCAAAATCATGTTTGAGGCAAAAGTATATTGGTCAGATCCACACTTCCAACCCCGCCAGTCTAGCCAAAATGCAGGTGAGGAAAATAAAGACGCCACCTGCGGGATGCTGCGGGATGTAGATTCACCATAGAACAAACACACGTTCTTTATCTGTGGGTCATAGCTTATAATAATTTATACGGTATATATCTGTATATATATAATTATAATATTGTATATAGATAGTTTATTACACATAGTTTATAGCTAGCTGTAAAAAAATATTAGAACAAGGTTCCAAAATGTTTTCCTATGTTTTAATCAACTGTTCGGAATGCAATGATCATAGCTCATCATAATTCACCCGGGCAGGCTCGCCTATGGAGAGCAACACCATGGCGGTCCTCTTTGACTGCGGCATCCTGCGAAGTCGAAAAAAAAAACACCAACCCATGATGGTTTTCATAGGTCAATAGGGCTTAATAGTGGTTAATAATGGTTAATAATGGTTAAACGTGGTTCATCATACTGCGTCTGTTTTTGTTTCAAGGGGAAATAATGGCTAGTCAGTCGTGGCTACGAGATATACAATGAATGTGAACAATAGCTAACACATGTTTAATCATTGAATGTAAGTGAATGGCTGGATATTCCCAGAATTGTCTTTGATCTTGTTTGTGACAAAATTATGATACTTCACCAACTTGAAATGAGCTCAAATTGGATGAACTTGGGATGATCATGATTCATCTATAGTGACCTCGTGGTGGCTTGGTTAATGGTTGCGGTAATGGCGGAACCATGGCTGAACACCACTCAACATCGAATAAATGACTATGACATGGTCCACGTAACCTAAAACTGTTGCTTCCATCCAATGTAAATACCATGCTAGTGCAACAACTATATAGGGACTTTACGCATAGAATTCAACTCCGACTAAACTCCGACTGCACCTTCGCAAGAGGGGAAATTACTTTGACTTGTGGTTCCTTGACTGTTTAAGAATGTCCAAACCACAAGTAAAGCAGGCGGAAACAACCTGTTTTCAAGGCTAGAATGGAAATAAACAGACTTGTCTTTAACTGCATAAGTTTGTCTAAAAACGGGGTACATTCCTTAAATGTCGTATACGTGTTTATTAATTTAGAACATGATGAAAGATCATCGAATTAGAGGTTTCAACCAACTCCAGATTACCCTCTGGTTATTTAACATAGCCCTGGTATAGATGGCCACATAGAAATAGATGGTTTACCTATTAAAAATGCTGATTTTCCGTTGCAAACTGTTAAATAACCAGATGGTATCTCTCCTCTTAAAAGGAGGGGATTTCCCGCTGCCCAACGGTCTCGAGCAAATCTTCGGGCGACAGAAACTGTTCACCCGTGAAGAGAAGCACAACGATGTTGAACATGGAAATCTCCTGGGCTGGCAATGGAATTCTAAAGGCTACCGCCTTTTTACGAATCAAGGGGTTTTAACATGTTTTTTTCACATGTTTGAACCATCAGAAATATGGATATACAAGTGAACAATGATGGTTGGTTGGTTGATGATTGGACAGGATATCAAGGGATTACCCTTGATGTATTGCTGGTTGAAATCCATTGGTTTGTCAGCATATTCTCTGCTGGCAAGTGGCAATTCTAGAGTTTCTAGTGATTATCACCATTGTTTTGAGACACACCCATATCTATATGACTGCAAGTAAAAGAAAACTGGACCTTCCAAAAAAAAAGGTACTCACAGCCTGTTGGCCAATGATTGACTTTGAAAAACATGTCTTTCCTGTGTCAACGTGTTCCAAACGCGACTCCCACGACACAGGTTCCTTCATTTTTCCCCAGCATCTCAACCAGCATGAACCCAGTAAGGAATTATCTTCCAGATCTGGAACCACCAAGCATTCATGGGGTCGACGTTTAATTAAATTCAACTCTGACAACCCCATGGTTGGTGCCCGTGGGGATTCCTAGTGTATAGTGCAACACGCGAACAGCCAACCAGAATGTATCAGCTATACTACCAGTTATACCCCCTTTGATGGTTGAAACCCGTTGTAAATAATATATATATATAAATATGTGATTCTTAAATCTCAATAACTACCCAACCAGACTTTAACCGCTCCATGAGCAGAGGCAACCAGCTCCAAGTGCCAAGAAACGTTGATGCCAGAGCGGTCCATGGCCCAAAACGCGTGCATGAACGCCAGGCTGATGAAGAGCCTGGTTTCGACATGGAAATTGAAGACTCTCATGAAACCAATGGGACAACGATGGAAGTGGATGTCTGGATGTGCCAATAACCAACCCGGGTTTTATTCCATTGGTTGCCTTGCTTTCGCAGCAACCCTGCTAGCGTTTTTCCAATGGTGAAGTGTGTTGATGACTTTCTGGTGGTGGCAACTCTCGCAAGAAGCGGTGACAGAAGGACCAAGAACCAGGAATGGTTCTATCACATCACAACAAGTCTGGTTTATACCATTTCTGCATAGGCCTTACAAAATTGTAACTTCAAAAGGTTTAGAGTACATGTAAAACACATATAGACTTGCCGCCAAGTTGCATAATCACCAGCATTCCGACAATCGGCAAGACAGACTTCATGATCGGCAAAATCCTGCACAGCAAGGCATAAAATGGCTGAGCTGAGCATGCATACATACATACATGTATATATATATACGTAATTATATATACACGCATATACACACTATTGTATAGAATTGTATAGCATTATATAACATCATATAACAGCATTTCAGAACGATTTTTTGAGAGTACCCATTTGAATGCAATAGATGACCCGCAAAGTGCACCCCATAGCTTCAAGTTCATCCATAACTCAGTATATACAACATCATACAACTGTAGTTGTATCCTAGAATCTATCGTCCTACTTATTGCGGCTATAAACCAACTTACTTCTATCGCCATGTGCTTCTTCAGGCCCATCTGGGGACTCTGGCCATGCCAAACGCCTCTCCTGAAATGATTGTCAAGGTCACGGTAACCCACCCCCCCTATTATATAAATAAGCCCCGTCTTCGCCCTGATATTAGAATTACCCTCTGGTAATTTAACGTAGCTATTGAAAATGGCCATTTATAGTGGATTTACCCATTGAAAATGGTGATTTTCCATAGCTATGTTAGTTCACCAGAGGGTAAAGAAGCTGGAGTCCCATCATTCCTTCAGCCCATTCAACACCCGTCAGACGGACCCCCAACCTCTTCCCAGTGGAACGGAAGGCTCTGATCCTTAGGCCAGGTGGAAAAAAGCGATGCGTCGCTTAAGGGTTCCAGCTGTATGCATGGCGGCATGATGCCCTCTGGTAATTTAACATAGCTATGGAAAATCACCATTTTTCATGGGAAATTTCACTATTAATGGTCATTTTCAATAGCTACTAGTATGTTAAATTACCAGAGGGTACATCTGCTGAAGATACTGTAGAGCTATACATCGACTGTAGATCGATAAGAAAATACTGTAGACTGCAAACATCTGGCACAAATACATACCTTGCCCTTTGTACATTGCACACATCTTTAAATGATCAAATATCATCTGACAACTTTGTACACCACCAAAGACATTCTCCTGAGGCCCATGTGACTTCAGAGACAGATCCACTAAAGCGTATGGTTATTCAATTAAACACGTCATTATAATTATACTGAATCCGTTGGTCCATTGGTACACCATTATTAGCCAATACCCATTAGTGATGCCTTGGGTGATCATTTAGGCAAAATCAAGGGGCTCAAAGAGCATGGTGATCCAGTGTACCAGGCTGTTGATCGACAGCAAGATGGAACCTGAGAAGCCGTTCCATCTCGGGCCATGTAAATCGCTGGATGTCTAGGGAAAATATGGGGGGGTTCCATGGATATTTTGCCGCTAAAAACAATGGGTTTAAACTGGGAATAATAAAATTCTTTGGGAACACATGAAAATATCAAAACATATGGGTCTGTGAACTTGATTATCAAAACATATGGGTCTATAACAAATTGGTTGGAACAATGCTTATTGGTTGAGTATTTGCAGAGACAACTCATGGATATTTGATGACTCGGTCTTGAGTTGTTCAGTCACACTGGTCCTGCTTAATGGACCTTGAGAAGAAATTAATTCACTTGGAACCTGACAAGTTCTTTCATTAAGCCATGAAAAAAATAAAAATACCTCATCCCTTCCCACTATATAAATTCTGATTCACACTACTAGCATCTCTCGGCTAAACAGCTAGACAAAAAGAAACAATGCACCAGGTCGTATACTCTTACTCCACCACAACAATCAATCAACAGGGGGATGTTCAATGGCTCATTTAGGTGGAACACTGTTGAAGTTACTTTCTCGGAACACCGTTTCTGATATATTATATGGTACAGTATTTGTGGAGGAAACAAGACACAGGAAATGCAGGTGCTCGCACACGAACACCTTCACAAGGGCCGAACTTGCCTTTTCCTTCCGATTCCGTGCTTGGCAGTGGCATACGTTATTTTCAGAGGAGTGAATTGCCACTTCTTTGACTGAACAGACATCACAAACTGCTTGGCAATTCATCGCATTGCAATGAAGCAAACTCCCATCCTAGAAATTTGTTGAAAATGTTTTGTTAATGACCTTCCTATACATATAATGCTCTCTCTCTCTCTCTCTATATCTCTATACTTATATATATATGTATATGATCTGCTGAAGCCCTGGTGCTGTCCATGAGTATCATGCTCCAAACCGCCCCGTGTAGCGCGCAAAGCGCTCGGGTCACCCTGCTGTTCTGCGCTGGTTCAAAGTGCACGGAAGTTTCGATGGCCAGGGCCAGGGCAAGACCGCCCATGACGAAGCGATAGTATTCCTCAGCTTAAGATTACGATAGTTCCATAAATCAACCATTGCTGGGGAATATTTTTTGGGAATATGTTTCATGAATATTCATCATATTGTTATGCAATCAATCATATTTAACCAAGCTTTTAACCCACGGGGTATGTCCAATTTGGATATGAAAAAGAACATATAACCCATGGCTCTGGGCTCGCCTCTGGGCCAACTCCAGGAAATCTCGATGTCCAAATCTTCGGACTGAAATCTGTGACTAACCGACTATTCCGACACCGACAATCTCTGTGGGTCAAGAAATGTTCGAAAGAAGCGCTGGGAATATGTATAGGATTGTATAGGGATGATCTAAATTCATCTAAATTCTATCTATACTAAACCATCGAAAGTTGATGGACAATATAGTTTTTCGTTCATTATGCTGTCAGCCAAAGATTGTGGCTGGTTGCATATTGAATGGATTGGTTTAGTTGGGAAAATCAAAAGCGGACACTTAATGGGAATTACAACCCAACAGAAATCAACATAAGCAAGGGCACCACTATCCATTGCCCATACACCATTTTTGCGCTTAAATGAAGCTATTTTTCAACTCATCCAGTAGTGTTGCGCATTGCAGTCATCCGAGCAAAACATGTTTTTTTTTTTTTCAAAACACAGTGGACTCAATAATACTCAGTTTGTTTCGGCATATCTATACAAAATACAAATTTACTGTAAGACTACTGATATATATATATATTATGTTACATTGCATATAGAATAACATACATATATTGCACATGCAATCGGCAATTGTACCTACTTTGGAACTAATGGCCCCTGATTTTTTTTCTGAGGCGCCCGTTTGACGTAGCGGAAAAACAACCGGCGACCTGCGGTCCAGGGTCGACAGGGAAAACCCCAAAGATCCATCGTTCGGTAAAAGAAAACATGTCCCATTTGATTGGTTATATATATATATATATCTTCGATTATTTCCCATGTTCAGACACCTACAAAATAGACCAATCCAAATTAATTAATAATGTCCGGATCACAACATGAGAATCTTATCATTGATACACAAATATCTTGTCCTAGATGTGTTCCTCAACTCTCAAGCACTCCTATTTAGAGGTCATCATCTTTCCCGCCAGAGTACAACCAATAGGTATGTTGAAAATTCTATCATAACTATTCCAACCACTAGGGCCAGCTGTCACATGTACAGGCAATGCTCGCATTGCAGCATCTCTCATGTATGTGCCATTGCTTCCGGAACTTAAAGCGATCATGTTCATTACGGACTAACACCTCTTGTTCAAAATGTTCATTTTCAAGAAATACAGTACTCATCAGTACCCCGTATCCGAAAAGATATGAAATTTCAAGAAAATGGTTCCCAAAGGCTGGAATTAATCCCGAAAAAGACCAGTCAAATTTGGTCTTTTATGTGTGGCTCCCTCGGCACTACATCTGCCAATCGATCGATTTTTGAAACCGCCGGAAAATTTCCGCCCGGCACGGCACGCCGTGCCTAATCTGGATTTGCAAATGATGCAGGTCCAGATCTCAGCCAAAAAAATAGATGGGGATCTGGGCAAAAAAAAAACATGTTACCCTCTGGCAATCAAACATGGCAATGGAAGATCCCCTATATAAATATATTGATAGGAGATTTCCGATTGCCTTGTTTACAAGCGGTCATTTGGCAGTGTGTCAAAACCTTGTACCCCTGGTGAACATCAAAATAGCTGGTAAATGGATGTTCATCCCCCTAAAAATGGTATTAATAGGTATTGATCCATACCCATTTTTTAACCTGGAATGTGGGGATCTCCATTGACTTTTCTTCAAAAAACTGAACCACTGACGATGTAGGGATCATCCCTGGCGTGGATGGGGTCCTTTCCCCCTGGTAGTTCACCCCAGTATAGCTGGGATGCATGGATCCCCCCCCAAAAAAATGTATCTTTGAATCTTTGAGGATCAGTAAATACATGTAAATACCATAAATCCCAGCTACATACATTTTTACATTTTTATGGAATTTACCTGGTTTTCTATAGCCACCTTGAAAAACACGAAACGAATCAGGGCGTTTTTTGCTTCGATGGTTCCCCCAATCCTGGCAACCAGAAGAAATACCACAAGAAGTGTGTGTCCTCTGGTAATGAGACCTGACAATGGAAAATCCAAACCATTCATGAACAAAACAAAAAAACAACAACAACTATGAGAATGGATATAAATGAGATTGTCATGTTGGAGGGTTCAACACAGTTTCAACAGATCAACAGGGTCTATACATTCGCCAAGAGACAAACATGAAGCATTCCTTGGGAAGTCCAGGAACGGATTTTCACCGAACTGTGGACCCTCAACTCATGATTCGCAGCTGGAAAGCTTATGATTTGGTACATCTCAAATCTAAGAGGATTCAACTTGTAACCATGAGAATGGTTCACAATTCATTTGAGAAGTATTCCAAGAACGGCATGAGAGTGTTCATTTGGTTCAGAACGGAATTCGCAGTTCACAGATCATGATAATCCCCAATGCATTGGGTAGTATAGACATGTATAGACCCCTATGATCATCAACCAACAGGCTTTTTGAGCACTGCTCACTTGATCTAAGAAATTCCATTAAGCGCTCATCATCCGATGACAGAGAGATTGCTTCCGTAAATTCTCAAATCATCAATCACTCGTGCGTCCGCTGGAAAGTCTATATGCCAAGCCGTTAATGATCAAACAGAGGCAGATTTGGAAGTTAGCTGTGCGGACTGAAGTTAGTAACATTCAACCTTAACACGAGGCTTTTCAGGAATGTTAGACATGTATCACAGAGCCTAAGAATCATTTGTGGATAAGTCTGGGATCTACTCTCTTCACTGAGTTATTTTGGGGATCCTCATATTTCTGGACATACATGTTTCACTTGGGAGTCTCAACAACTATATAGTCCAACTGGCAAACTGGCAAGTCAGCTTAGAAGTGGTCTTTGAAGACCGTTTTTTAAGCACCATCCATCCCCCAATGTCACATCATTTTCCATGACATGTTGGTATACTTGGTTTTTTCATGAAAAATAGGATAAACCATAATTTGTACCCTGATTATGTATACTGTCGGTTTGGCTCTCGGGTACGCATGGATCCACAGAACATGTTTTTTTTTTTGTACTGTCAATCATATTAAGCAATAGTTTTTTGTGTATCATGGTCAAAAAACCTTGTTCATAGGGTCCCGAGGGGGGGGTCTAGGGGGGGTCTGGATAAGCCTGGATAAGCCATGGATAAGCAAGGATGATCATTTTCAGAACGAAAGGTGAATTTCCGGGTGTTCATTGACAGTCAAGGAGGTCCAAGAGTGATTTGACCTGGATTTTGGGGGGGAGATTGGGTGGCTAAAGGCTTAATAACGGCTTAATAAGGGCTTAAATGATATGCATTGGATAAGCGAGAAACAGCAAGCTATTCTGCATACCCCCCCAGAAAAAATTACCCCTCAGGACCCCAGATCCCCAAAATTGCCAAAATTGAGGAAAAATGGTGAACACACATCGCAAGCACTGCAAAAATCCCAATGCCCTTTGTGGGTTGTGGCTCAAATCACCCATTGCTTTGGATAAGCATTGGATAAGGAAGTTCAGCTATCCATGGGGAATCAGACCTTAATAAGGCCTTAAAGGATAACCCCTTAATAAGCCTTAATAAGCCCTTAATAAGACCTTAATAAGGTCTTAATAAGGCCTTAATAGGGTTTATCATTTCCCAGCCTTCTCAGGAGCTTAAATGATAAGCTCAGAACCCTCCCAGAATTGTACCCAAACATCACATATTCCGAGGGTTAAAAAAACTAAGGGATGTATGATATTCCATTCCCCACTGTCACATCCCACGGTACATTCCCTTTCCATAAACAAAAATAACATGAATCTACTATGGGATTATGGGATGTATGATATTCCTACAAAGTGGGGCCCCGCCAGTTATAAGTTGGTTTATGTTCCCCATGAACTATAGTTATAGGTATCATAAACCATATTTGTTGAGCTCATGTTCACCAACTTAGCTATCGTAAGCGGGGGGCCCTCATTGTAATTACCATTCTATAACTCACATTATAAAACAATAACATGACTCTATACAGTGACATATATCTATAATGTGACAGAACAAGTATATAATGTTACATATAGGATCTACCATCTGGTTATTTAACATAGCCATGGAAAATCACCATTTTTAAGTTCGGTAAACCATCTATTTCTATGGGCCATCTATACCATGGCTATGTTAGTCATAACCAGAGGGTATATGGGATCTATTTATTAGGAATTACCATTTGGTCCATTTATAGAGGGATATTCCATTTATTAGAGATACTAGTCCTATACCAGAGGGCCTTATTGATACCCTCTGGTAAACGTTTACATAGCTATGGAAAGATCCACCCATTTTTCATGGGAAAATCCACTATTAATGGCCATTTTCAATAGCTACGTTGACATAACCAGAGGGTATTCCTATTGGATCCAGGAATCTCCACAACATCGCATCCAAGGCATCCAAGGTTCTGAGATGCCCTCGGCAGCCAGGATGCCCCAAAGTCCACATCCTCGGTAGTCTCCGGCTGTTCTTGGGCGATGTTTCTTGGGTGACTTAGGCGAATGTGGGGATATATATATAACATTATAGACATATATTTATGAGACTTTAAATAACTTTTGTGACCTGAGTGATATATAATTATATGTATATAGTATATATATATTATCAGTTAATATCATATAATTATAGCTGGTTGGATATAATTATAGCTGGTTGGTGGTTTCAACCCCTCTGAAAAATATTAGTCAGGTGGGATGATTATTCCCAATACATGGACAAAAATAAAAGTCATGTTCCAAACCACCAACCAGATAGAATAAGTACAATTATGATCGATAAATTTGGATGATCTGGGATATGAGTCAAATTATGTCAAATTGATAAGAACAGTCCCAATAGGACGAGGGATAATTGCAGTTAGGGGACTGACTCACACCAGGGTTCTTAACAGCTCACAAATTCAGATGTAATAACCGCACAAAGCGAAGGCTCACTATAGTCACCATAGAATCAGCGTTCCTGGACATGTCCCAAGCCGAGAGGACATGCACTCATCTACTGCAGCATTTAGTGGTGAATCTTAGAGGTCTCTTGGGAAAATCAAGGAACACCGGCATGTCAGTTGATCATAGCACCAGCAACTTCACGACACATACTTTGGTGGGTCAAAAACTCGATATTTGCGGCTTCAAGTCTCAAATATCTGCGCTGAATTGCGCTTATTTGAGCTCATGCACTTTGCAAAGATAGCGACCATAATCAGCTGATCATCAAAGGTGGCAATGGAACGCCCCCATTTATAGATTACCCTCTGGTAAACTAACATAACTATGGAAAATCACCATTTTTAATGGGAAAATCCACTATTAATGGTCATTTTCAATAGCTACGTTAAATTACCAGAGGGTAGTGTCCTAGAAAAATCTCGATTCGTAAGGGATTTCCCTAGCCTCGATCACCAGACGCTACCCTTTCTGGACACAGCGTCGCATCATCCGAGGTGTCTCCACCTGGCTCACAGGATGCGGATCTCATCAACGCTTTGGGATATGACATATATAATAGCAACCACCAAAAAGATAGAAAAATAATTTACCACTAATTACTTCAAACATATCTGGAAATCTCTATCTTTTTGGGGCTATATCATATCTGGTATATCTGGAAACTTAAAGTATGTTAGCTGAACATGTTGGTTCCAGATTAAGAAACACGAGAGGGGATGTTCACCGAGAAACCATGTGTACAGCTTGGGATTTCATCAACATCCATTGTCAACCAAACACAATCCTTGATGGAAGCAAATACTGTGATAGACAAAGTCCAATCTCGCAATCCAATACCATGTTGCGTTGGTTTCTACTCAATGGTTGTCAAATCAATGGCCATATAATTTTCAGCAACATCACCAGTCTCAGGAGCTCCTTGGCTCATGGCAGGGAATATGGATAGCCATAGCTCCTCAAGTTCCTCTTAACCAATAGATTTACAAAGCATTTAACCAGTTAACCATGATCCCAACTTGTATAATTCCATCATGGTTGATCAATCAATTATCATAGGGGAATGATCTATAACAAATATTAAGCTGGTTGGTGGTTTTAACCATCTTGAAAAATATTAGTCAACTGGAAGGATTATCCGAATATATTACAAACATGTTCCAAACCACCAACCAGTAAGTATCATCCCATTCCCCCACTAAGCACCGCTAGTAATTCACTCCTGGTGACCGCCTGCGCGGCCATCAAAATCCAATAACTCAGCACCACGGTGGACAGGAACTGGCGACGGCGATGGATGGATGGCTCAGCAATGTGGGGCCCCCAAGTGTTATGTTTGTTGGTTAACAAAAACCCCATGATCCCCATATATAGCTGGTTAGTGGTTTCAACCATCTTGAAAAATATTAGTCAATCGGAAGGATTATCCCACATATTATGGACAATAAAAAATGTTTGAAACCACCAACCAGATAGTTGTAGGTATCATAAACCATAGTCATTGAAGTGATGTGGCCCCCAACTGAGCTATCGTTTTTACCGGGGCCCACATTGTATGTCATTTTTTGTGGAGGGTAAAACACAAGATGCGATTCGATGAAATCACCAATAAAGAAATAAGGCATAGAGCACCATTTAACATAATCGTTTGTTGTAGATTTTAGACTGTTTGGGGGAACAGGGTGCTGGTCACATGTTGAAAGAACAGATTTCCAGATTGGCCCAGAAACGTGGAGGGTTTAATGTGGTTAAAACAATGCCATGTTTACCAACCATGACTGAGAATGGTAAACATACCCCCCCTATAAAAAGTGCTGATGACTGGGGGATGGTGCAAATGGCATTGTTTTCCCTACATTAATGATGATGATTAGAATTATAATATGTTTTTAAAACATATATGGAGATGATTATAGTGATATAACTTGATATAACTACCATAACTATAGAAAATCATCATTTTTTCATAAGAAAATCATCATTCGCCACATCAAAAAATATGGCTGGTGGATCTTGCTGCTTCCCAATGTGGAGACTATGGGCCCTGTGGGAAGTGCCTGGAGGTCCAACACCGGACATGTAAAAAAAATGGCTGCAGAAGTTCATGACTTGCAAAGATAGATGTGAATATGTGTGAATCTATTTCATATATATACTTTTTTTTATGTAATATCATTATATATATAATTATATATTATATAATTATATATTATATAATTATATATATATATATATATAATTATATATATATAATGATATTACATAAAAAGTGTGTATATATAATTATATATATATATATATATTGAATTACAAATGGGCACCATAACTCTGTTCCTCGCTACTAAACCACCAAACTTTGGGCGGTTCATTTAATTTCGAGACATGGCAACAGATCTGGCCACCTGGCAAACTGATCCAATCAAACTTATGCGCTAGATTTCTCCAGTTAGGCAGCATCAAGAACGCCAGCTGGTTGGATAATGATTGATATGGTTTGATAATAGGCGGTTGATAAGTCATGCTATCCCAAATGTACTGCGGAGTATATTCATCCAAATGAGGAAATCCTGTGAAAAGGTATTATCCTTATGAAAGTCATGGATTATAATCTGAAATCCTATTCATCCAGCATAGGCAGAAACAAGTTGTGGTTCATGTAGCTGGGGATTTAGTATTCATCCATCCTTTTGGGGATTCAAAGAGCGCTTTCCACGCCTGGTGTCCCAAATCGACCAAGAACATGGGCCTGTTTGGCGGTGCGGGTCTTCAACCTACATGTCTTATCATGCTATGTGGGGATGGGTCAAGTTACCTATGCATTTACCATATGACTGGCGAAAAAAAAAACATCCAGCTATACCAGCTCTGACTTTGCGTACCGTTTGGGTACCAGGGTTTTGACCCATGGTATTGATGGAACAACATATGGATTTAACTTGGAAAATCTGTAAATTGTGCGATTTAATTAGCTAGGAAACATGGTGGGTGTGTCTGGAAGGGATAATGATGACTAGTCAGTGGATCTCGGCGATCTCGTTACCGTATATTTCAAATAAACCCGTGTGGATCCATATGTCAATTAACAAAGATGCTCATCTCTATCCCGTATTCTTATCATTGATAAATGAGATATAAGACTTCCAGATTAATTTATGGCTTATCCACCAATTTCTGACTTGCTGACTGGGATGCACATACGAGATCATACGCAGTGCATAAAACCGTGGCAACACCAAGAAACAGGACATCGATGCTTCAACATACATTGGGATCTTGACAGTGATCCTGTCTCACAGCTTCATGATTCGACGTTTACGTTGGAATCCTTACCATGTCTCGTACGTCATCATCGTTCCAAATGTGCTTCTGCCCCGGGTCCCATCTTTCCGAATCACCGGTGACCTAGCCCCTGCCACGGGACTTGAAGGTTAGGCAACGGGGTTAGTCCCTGCCGCCTGAAGGATTTCCAGAGATGCTTCAGCATGGCGTGGACCACCAACTTCGTGAAGATCTTGTGATCTCGTGTGGCGGCCTAAGAAAATCTGAGATGAGCTATCTGTCAGTTTTTTCCGTTACACCAATTTCATCGGGCAGTGGATTGGTTTAACTTGTTTTCAAGCAGGAAATCATTGCTTTGTGCCAACAAATCAATAGGAATTTCCACGGATTTTCTGGACTGTTTCCCTTCGACCAATTCTGGGATAAAAAGGTTCACCGGCAGGAAAATATTTCAAATTCTGAAGGGTCAAGGCGAACATAGAAAACGGATCAATCTTGGTCATTAGTTACCCATCCGGTGTTGGGGTGCCATATTCTGATCCGCACTTCCTGTGCCTGTCAATCGCCAAATGATTATGAGAGCAGTTTTCTTGGTTCATTGAAAACACTACTTCATTGATGTAATTTGGCTTCAGCAAATACACTTCGACAGCATTTCGACACCATTTCCCTTGCAATCCTGAATATGCCACAACAAGACTTCTTCATGTGAGACATGGGTCACCCGTCCGGCTGGGGTGCCCAAACCAAGCTGTGGATTAAGAAGCTGTTGATGACGCCTGGCCGGAAAGGGTCTAGGAATTGTGTAAACCCATGGCAAAAACAAAATGGGGAAATGATTATAAATGTGATGGTAAATGATTTGTTTCTTATCTTTTGGGGGTCCTGTACGTATTTTATCTGTGAAAAATTGATGTCTCAGGTAGTTGTTCTCAAACAAAAGATCGTAGTGAAACGGTCTGCCTCCACTGCAATCAACGTGAAAACGTTGCTACTGCAATCTGAAACTGCCACGTAGTTCTAGGTAGGGCATCAGTAAAAAAACCTGTGCTGATCAAGTCATCCAGTCACACCTCAAATAAATAGGATTTCAGATCGGAAAGTCCTTAAATTCCATGCTTGTTCCATTCACCTTGTCAAACTTTGATACCCTGCATTTTTGTTCAAAAACTATATATGTCGTTGATATTCCCCTTTAAATCGCAACACATGAAATTGGACCATTTAATAACCCATCCAGTTGGATTCCTTAGATTTCAAACTGGGGCACATCCCAAGAATCCCAGCAAATCCCCATTGAATTTCAACAGAAACTCATTCAATCCCATATAATCTCCATGTAATCTCATATTATTCCTATATACCATCTGGTTATTTAATGTTATTTAACATTTCGCCATGGAAAATCCACCCACTTTTAAGTTCGGTAAACCTCTATAAATGGGCCATCTATACCATGGCCATGTTAAAGAACCAGAGGGTAATCCCCATTAAAGATGCCTAATGCTGCCCATCCCCAGATCCCCTTCGGAGGCAGCCGTCCTGGCAACATCAACATCTTCACCTTCACCTCCTGGGACCGCTTGGCGTCCTGTGGTGCCAGCTTCTCCTGCGATAGACCAAGGGCTTAAGTGGAAATATCATAATTATATACACAGTGTATATAATTATAATAACATATTATATATATATGTACATATATATATATGTATGTATGTATATAATTACAATATTTTGACAGTGTATAATATACTGGTTGGTGGTTGAGCCACCCCTCTGAAAAATATGAGTGAAAGTCAGTTGGGATGATGACATTCCCAACTGAATGGAAAAATCAAACATGTTCCAAACCACCAGTGTATATATATATATATGTATGTGGCAGGGACCTTTGGGATGTATTTTGTTCCTTTGCATACAAGCATGTATAATTATATATATTACACGATATTAGAAACGACTTTTTAAGAAGCCCCCTACACTGGAGAGATCTGCTGGGGTACAAGCATGTACAAGCTATTGACATATTCTGATGTTGTCATTTAGCTACCCTCTGCTAAACGTTTACATAACTATGGAAAATCACCACCCATTTTTCATGGGAAAATCCACTATTTCTATGGCCATTTTCAATAGCTATGTTAGTCATTACCAGAGGGTAATCACCATTAAATCCCATTAAATCCCATTAAACCACCATTTTCCTATGGTTAGTCATTACCAGAGGCTACTTACAAGGGAGTTGCTGAAAATCACCCTGGAATCCACTGGTTGATATTGGCATTTTCCCCATCGAAGGATATATCATCTGATTGGCTATTATCCCTATAGGGGTTGATTGGCTGTTGATATATATATATATATATTATAATCATATCATTGGCTATAGCCATTGATATATGGTTTATATGCCCATCATTGATATATTGTTATAATGGTATATTGATATATGGTTTATATGAGTGGCTATATATTGATATATTATCACATGATTGGCTATTAACCATCATATACATGCCCATTGCTTCTAGTTCATTTCCCATCAATTTGATGAAACCACCACTGTGTTGTCTTCCCATTGAAATGACCCCTTTTTCAGACACACCCACATAGCATATTCCTTAAGTTGTTTATCCCATAATATCCCCAAATTGCACTACTTAAATCCCAATGACAATTGATGCTTAAACCACCACTATTGATGGTTAATTCCTCACTTTTGATGATTAAATGCTATTAAATGATAATTGTTGATAATTATGTCAATTATATCCCTATTTTTCATGGTTAAATCCTATTTTTCCCATTGTTAGATCAATATTTTTCCCCATATGCCTCCCACTTTTTGAGTTTTTCTTTTTGAACTTCCACGTTCAGTCAGTCCTGCCAAGGCATGGTGACCTTGTCCTTCCAGGTCCACTTCTTATCCTCGATGTAGACGCCTCATTTGTTTGCTGGAAATATGAAATCAGTGATCGGTATGTTTTTATAAACTTGAAGTTAATCATTGGTGTTTCTTTGGTCGTTGAAGTACCACAATTGGTATATTTGTTTCTTGAGCTAACACAAGTTCCAAGTTTGTATGGTGACTGGCGAGATTGCCAAGGGATTCCACCAACAGTGGCATTTCACCAAGAAAATCATGGCAACCATTGACAATAAACATTGTATGCGGAATCTCGCACAAAAATGTTTAAAAAAAAACAGAAAACTAGCATATCTAGCATAATACGGTCATTCACACCCAAAACATGACAAATGAAGATTGAACATGATTTCCCCGCGAAAAAACAAAACAAAAAACACAAAACAAACGAGATCCCCCCAAACCTGGTCATCAGTTCCATGGCTGGAAACAATTACCCGGTAGTTCAATGATTTTCTCAAATAAAACTCTTCAGAAAAAAATAAACACATACTTTTAGAATAGATATATATATATATACATAAATAATAAAGGATTTTCCATGAATTTCCCTATATTTCCCCATATGTTTTTCTCATTTCTTAGGACCCCAAATCCACCAGCGCCCCGTTTCCGGGCCGTACCGGGTGCAGGACAGGAGAGTCGACAAGCCTCCTGGTCCCAGGGGATGTTGGCCCTGACCTGACAAATTGGTGCCATGTCCGAGCAAACACATTGGAACGTATGGGAACATATGGAACTTATATAGGCCTTACCATCTGGTTATGACTAACAGTTCGCCATGGAAAATCACCATTTGTAATAGGTAAACCCAGGTAAACCATCTATTTCTATGGGTCATTTTCCATGGCTATGTTAAATAACCAGAGGGTATATATGGTAGGTACCTCCAATCAATCGGTCCCTGAAATGGCCATTGATTCGTTTGAAAATGGTGTACCCAAAAATGATGAATCATAACTGGTTGGTGGCATACCTACCCCTCTGAAAAATATGACTTCGTCAGTTGGGCTTACTATTCCCAATGTGATGGGAAAGTCATTCAAAATTCCATGGTTCCAGTCACCAGCAACCAGAAAATCATGGAATAAAAAACATGGAAAAAATATGGAACATCCCTTAGAAATAGAGTCTTTTGATGAGATGCGACATATTTCGTCCTCAGCCGCCGCGGGTCCGCAAAACGGCCATGGTATATCGCCCGGTGGAAATCACTCCCCATGGAATGACCATATCTTGGGGCAAAATACACATCCATTTACCCCTAGTCTTGACCATGAAACATACGGGTTATCAACGGCCATGACTCAGGAACCTAAATTGGAGGTACCTACAATATATAAGGTCTATGTAAGGGCTATATAAGGGGATATACCCCCAAAATATGGTCTTATATGGTACAGTACCTCCATTTTAGGATCCTGGAATTCCCATTGAGGTTATGGTTTGAAAGGGTTTGAAAGTGGGGTACCTGTTGGGGATTTTTGGGTTCCTCAATTTCCAAAAGACATGTTTCCATCCTTTTTCCGATCTTAGTAAGTTGGTAATAAGCATATGATATCACGATTATGGCTGGAATACTCCAAGTCCCCAGTAGCCAGCTTATGTCTCAGTTACACACACACACACCATTTATTCATTATATATCTAAAACAATAGTAATAACAGAAATAACAATACTCGATAGTATTTGATGATAATCATGAATAATAATTAGTACTATATAATCAATAATTATTAAACAACAAGTAATTTTAATAATCACTATTAACCATTGAAATAGTAAATAATCCAATAACTGTACCATGCCCTCAGAAGTTGCTGCCGTTGTTGGGCTTCGTCCCGCTGCTTCGTCTCCAAGTCCCCAGACTGGCAGAGGATTGTGCTGTTTGTTTTCCTCCTGGGCTGGGCTTTGGACTGAGCTCCCTGCGTACAAAACCATCAGCATGCCCACATATATAAACATTACGTGTGTGTATATATATATATAGAGTTGTAATTATATAGTAATATGTATATATATATATATGTACATTGTAAATGGTAGAGAACTCTCTGTTGAAACTGCAGTGGTCTGATCAGACTTTGAATGGAGGAAACTGTATGAAACCCTGTCCAATGAATGTCCCCTTCACCCAGCCAAATGGGATCGCACTGTCTATGTTTTCTGCCCTGCCGCAAACACTGAAATCACTGCACCACGAGTGGAAGGACGGCCGCGTCCAGAACTCTGAAGCACCCTGTGCTATCACGTGCACCGAAGCAAATGGCGCTAAGGTGGACAAATCCCACCCTCCCGCTGCCAGGCTTCCGAGCCTTGACACCTGCGGTAAACATCATCAAGTGGCATCTGTTGGACCTGGAGATAACCCAAGGGTGAACATGGCACTTGCACAAATGGAAATCACACTCCCGAAAAATGTTTTTCTTTTGTTTTGAAAAACACTCAAGCAATGGACAAAGGAGATTCATGCAGGTTTTGGCTCACTTTGGTTATTTCCATCTTGGGCTTTTAGCCATTTGAGTCTATCTTTTGACCGGGCTCTCTCCTTGAGGGTGGCATCTTCGTCGCTGAGGCGGTAAAATCCATATTTTAGGGTCTCCCTCAAAAAGTGGGATTCCATGGATTTTGTCAAGCTATCAGCTAACTGAGCTCCACTTGGCACCCATCGCAACATCGTGCCCTCCTTCAATGATTCCTTTATTGATCTAGCCATTAATTGAACCCTGAATTCTGAACAGCTTGGCGGTGCCGTTCTTGTTATCAAGTCATAAAGGCTCTTGCAGTCCGTGATTGCAACATCGTTTTCAGGAATCAAAGTTGGGACGGTAATCGCTGGTTCAAGTTTCGGAAGGGTCTCTTCTGGTTTCTTCCAGTCCACCCGAGGATCATGGATCCAGCTCCAAAACAAGCGAAGCCACGACAGTTGGTCAAGGGTTGTGGCTAATGCCATCGTTTCTGCTGATAAAGTGCTTGTCACCACCTTCTGTATTTTGCGACAACCCCATGTGAGCGGGCTGATCGGACATTCAAGTCCTCGACTGATGTCTTGGTGTGTTCCTACGATGATGGAACCGGCGTGTGAATCAGGTTTCTTGACTGAGGAAAATGAAGCATCTGAAAATGCCATTAGTTGAAAATGTTGAACTGGAATGGACTTGATAGTTATGCTGACATCATGGTGGCGTTTGGCTTCATGAAGTACTTTGTTGGCTTCCATCAAAGTTTCGATCTTGGCTATGTTGATTGCGGATTGTAAAAATGAAAGTTTACTTGATAAGTCAGGTCTGGTATTGATTGCTGCATATTGTAAGCTTCCGATGAGTCCCCTCAGGGCCAACCTCTCGGATTCGTTGACTGGTGATTCAAGTTGGGATTTTCTGTTGGATTCTATGGCAATTGCGGGGATCTTTCTGACATATGCTGATTGACTCAAGGTTATATTGTAGTTAGAATGTTGGGTGACTTCAATGCCAGTGAATGTGAAAGCTGAAATTTTGTGGGAACCAAAAGCAAACTTTTGTTCTAGTTGGTGGATCTTTTCTTCGAAGTATGAGCTACCCCCTCCAATCCCATCGTCTACGTGTATCCCCAGAATCCCTTCTAGTTTACCTGGTTGGTCACCCTGGGGTGGTGATCGTAGCACGAAGCAGCACGGATCGAATGGCGAGGTCTCAAATCCAAGTCGCGTGAGTTCTGTCACCAAGGCACAGTACCACAAGTATGGTGCATCTATGAGTCCATACGCACCTTTGTTCAGTTTGCAGATCTCTTGTGGTTTCAGTTGAAGTGCTCGCCTCAACTCTGGTACAGGATCCACTGCTATGATCCTATCGGCTTGGGGCTTCCCCTGAAGAAAAGCAGCTTTGATGTCGAAGGATCGTAGTTTCCATGCATGAGATGAAATTACCTGGAGAGCTATCATACGAGATGTTTTATTTAAGGTCGGGCTATCTCGGGGAATTTCTTCTATGCGGGGATCAAGGTATCCCAGAACCACTAGTCTTGCTTTCGCTTTGTGACTTTTCTTTTTGGTATTGGATTCTTCATTGTCCCCTACATTGTCTATTGGTTTCCAAGTAAGTATCCATCTGCATCTTAGGATCTGTTCTTCTGGTATCTGGTCCCTCAGAATGGCACTAATGGTACTTGTTTTGATCCAATTTTCAATCTCACTTTCTTTCGCCTTCTCAAACTCCTTGATTTCTTCGGGGCTCAATGTTGACAACTTTACTTCCGTTCTTTGTTTCTTTGAGGAGGTTGCCAACAGAATCCAATCTCTTTCTTCATTGTCCCTGTCTTGACTCATTGAGGCAGGTCTGGGAACTTCGAACTCACATCGCCATGCTAGGGAATCCTCTGCATGGCACGTCAGGGCATGGTCAATCTCCTGACACGCAAGTTGGACCACTTCGGTCGTTGCAAGGGCTGGATCATCATGAGTCATCTCAGCATTGGACACTGTTTGTTCAGGTTGGGAACTTTCGGATGCAAAATCTTCTGGTTCTTGGTCGGGTTGCTGCAAAGATCCATCTTGACTCTCGGGGTTTTCGGAATTATTGGTATTTAGGTTATTAGGGTCCCGGACTATGGAATTGGAAAGGTTATCTTGTTGGTTATTGTCCTGTGGTATTTCTATGGAAGTGTCTTGGGGTTCGGCAGTATGTTGCATTCTGTGGATCTGCAGGGTCAGTGGGGTGATGTCTTCGGGAAGTTCTGGTCCTTCTGGATGGCCCTCTTCCGGATAAGCTTTGCGGGTATTTTCGGGGGCACTACGGTGAAGATTCCCATTGGCAGTACTCCATACTGTATGGTTATCATCTTGGAGGATTACCCGAAAAGGACCCTGCCATCTAGCTTGTTTGAGGGGATTTGACTTCCATACCATAACCCAATCACCCCTTGCAAACAGACCTCGTGACGGACATGACCTGCGCAATGCTGCACGTCTCAAAGCTTCGCTGTTGTCAGCGGTATGGAATGCCCGACGGGCGGCTTCCCGCAAGGCCAGCATTCGACGAAAGTCTTGGCTAGCTAGGGATTGGTTCTCATCCATGGCATGTTCATGGGCAGGTATGGATTCATCACTTAGCACTGAACCAGGGATTCTCGAATGTTTACCAAAAACTATCACCTCAGGAGCATATCCGTGACGGATGCTAAGGGAATTCTTGGCATGGGTGCATTGGTTCAGGGCACTCTGAAGGGATGCATAGTCATTGATCGGATGTTCAAAATCAACTTTCTCCAACATGCACTGCAAGAAGCCTCCGTGGCGTTCAATACGCCCGCTCTGCCAGTGGGCATCTGGCACCGTGGTTGTGCTTCTGATGTTGAATCTCTGAAGGAACATCGCAAATTCTGAGCTATTCATCTCAGTGCCCGAGTCCACAGTGATCTCGGATGGTGGTCCAGCCCAGCTAATCCAGTGTTGGTTGATCAAGTTGATGAGGTCTTCTGAAGTTTTGGAAGGAGCAACAATCGCAACATGGTAATTGGTTCCTGCATCCAAAAGGTGGTAAAAGTGGAATGTTTTATTCAGTTTGTTAGTCCATGTGATTCCGTCAAGGTAAATTTTATGATTGAAGTCCATCATGGTTTTCAGGGATGCTGGTCTGGCATGTTTTGGTGGAGCCGTGGCTGCACAGGTCGCACATTGAATTTCCAATGCCGCTTGTACCATTTCTGGTCTCGCTCCACTCACCTGGAGTGCTCTGGACAACCGATCGTTTGAAGGATGACCAAGATTCTTGTGCATTCGGATGATAGCTTGTTGTTCCCACTTTGGTAAACCCTGGAATCGACTGCCATGTTGATTGTCTGCACACTCTGGTGGTGGGGTTAGCGAAGCCTTTGAAGAAGGTGTATTGGGTCCTTCCTCAGCTCTGGTCTCTGGGCAGATCGGTGGTACCGATTTTGTGCGAATCTTGGGAACCTCTTCCACTCGCTCTACCTCTGGTGGTTTATTCGGCTGCACAGGGATGTCATCGCTCTGAGAAGGGCCCTCTTCGGAGCTTGCTTTCTCGGTGCGGAAAGGCATTTCGTGCATCTGATTATCGAACTGATCTACTTTGGGCTCCGGATGCATCACGGATTTGGTCTGATCTGTTGATGGCATTTCCGATGTTTTCTGATCTGGAAGGTCTTGTGGATTTGAAGTCCTAGGAGACTTGGGTTCAACTGCAAACACTGTGATGTTGATCCTACTGGAATGCGAAGGCCTTATTAGCTGTCGTTTGGACAGGTCAACCCATTTCTCCCAGTGAGCTTCAAACCGAATCTCCCCAGTCCTACTTAACATGAGCATCTTTCTGAAAGGGGCTTCCTGCGGATGCATCCCGGCCGGTGGTGCCATCGTTCTGTCGGTTCCTCTGCATGCCACTACTCGGTGAACCTGCTTGTCAGGGAAGATATTGTTCAGCATGTTCAACACAGATTGATCGGTGATCTCTCTCTTACCCACTCTAGGCAAAATGTTACTGACTGCTTGAACGGCTTCCTGACACATTTCAAGAGTTGGCAGCAAAGTCTGGTTGGGATCCGTCTTGGATCTCTTGGCACCTTCTTTTGACCGGACAAGTGGAGACAACACTTCCGATTTTGGAAAACTGGGTGGCTTGCGAACTTTTGTCACTGCCAGGCTGGGCTCAGCCGCAGGGACTTCCACATCGACGGCTGCAAGGCAAAGCATTCCTGGTTTCCAATTATATGGCCAACATAGGTTGCCTTTGCTTAACACCTGTGCAACAGTTCTTGCAAACCGTCTTGGATATACCTCCGTGTATTGAGTCCTCAGCATACTTTGTCCATTCTTGACACGACATGAACCTTCGATGGCCTGGTGGACATGGCGATGGTCACAACACATTCCATGGAGCTGTTGGAAAAGAGGTGCAAACGTCGTCAACAGGGTCATTCCCTTTTGCATGAACATGCCATTTTCGGGGTCTTTAAGATGGCCAACACGACACATGTCGAACTGGCATGCCTGAGTATGTTCATGAACTTCCGCAAGAAGTGGCGTTTGAAACATCAACGATCTTTTCGGTTGTTCCCAATGGAAGTGTTTGCTATGAGATACTTGGTGACGATACAGAACAATTCCCAAAGCCAATTGATACAATAACTCCTGTCGTTTTCTCTCGTACTCATCATGATGTTGCATGGACCTTGACGCATTCAGCTGTGACCAGGCAGACCAGGGACCACATGTTGGACTGTACCAGACATGAGACGGTCGATGTCTGGCCATCAGTCGGAACAAATCCTTTCTGCCGGATGCTAGGGCCAAATCCCCTTGCACGTAGCCGAATCGGAATGCTGACTTGCCAAGCTGAAGCATTTGATGGGTTAATGGAGAGTTACTACTGCACATTACTTCACCAAGTTCATAGGGTTTTCCCAAGGGAGTTGTTTGAGTGATAATTTCTTGAAACTCTTGAGTGAATTGTTGTATGAGTTGTTTCATGTGTTTGGCTTCATGGTGCATGGCTGTCAACACTGAATCCTCCCAGTCCTCTCTCACTGGTCCTGGTTCTCGGCATCGATCTGTTCCTGGTTGGTCTGCTGCTCCAAGTGCTGGATGACACGGGTCAATGCATTCTCCATGTTCAACATGCGAGCTTGCATGGCCATCCTGTCCTCTGAGGCTGGCAACGCTCGATGGTCCATAATCGCTGGCTCGTACATCTCGGAAGGAATGTCCCAATCGCTCTCTCCCAGCGAAGATATGAGAGAAGGAGCCGCTTGGGACTTGGCTGTGGCCTTGGCCTTGGCCTGAGGACGAGATTGGCCGGCCCCCTGGCTGCCTCGGGGAAGCACCCCTTGGTTCTGCTCCAAGGCCTCCACCTTCAGCTCCACATACTTCATGAATCTCCTGTGTGCTTCCTTCACGCTCTTCTGGTATCGATTGACCATGAATTGAACCCACTCTTGGTCCTGCCAGGTGTCTTCGAAGGTGCGGCCATTGAACTTTTGTCCGAAGGTCACCACTTCTGACGACAGTTCCTCGAGAGTGAGATGATCCACTGCCACTGGTTCCACCACTGACTGCACTTGCAACTGGCGAAGTCTCTGCGACAACGACATGATTGGACGGCGGGGCAGACGGTTCGGACTGTGCTGCAATCCGGCTTGCCTGGTCAGTGGCTATCGGTCGATCTGATACCTGAGGCATTTGAGGATTACGAGCTCCGACATGGTGGTTGGCATGACTGTTCACCTGACCTGCTTCATTGTGATTAGTTCTTCCCCCTACATGATCATGACATGCTGGTGGTGGTTGGTTGAGGCCAGTCTTTTCAGCGGTCTCTTCGGACATGAAAGTTTCGGCACAACCCTCTGTCCTGACTCTTCGGTCAGAAGGCGCAGTATCCATTGTGACCCTGATTAACTCATTGATATCCAACAAGAACAACCCTTTGGCAGTTAATTGGAGGGAAATCGGTTTTGACATCTGGGCACTGGACAATGTTTGGGTTGCGCAGTCAATCGTGGCTCGCAAGGTTCGCATCAAAGTATTGCTAATTAAGAATGGTGTTCCACCTGGGACTACAGCCACCTTTAATCTGAGAGAACCAATGGGGACAACCAAGGCTTCAGAACTTGTCAAAGTGGACTGATTACCAAACTTAAACACAATATTGCATGGGCATTTGGAAAGTTGTTGGCGGATGTCTGGGTCCAGGCTGCGAATTAACTCACCTAAGTGCTGGCTGCCAATCACGGTCTTCGAGGCACCTAGATCCAGGATTCCATGTGATCCATGCGATGCGAAACACGCTGTGGCACTTTCCGGTTGTTCTGACATGAGGATAGTTGGTTTCATCTCTGCTGGAACCCTCGGCACGGAGTGGACATCAGGTTGATGTCTCGAAAATCTGGCATGGTCGAGAGATTTGTTCCCTCTCGGAACGCAAAAGCTCCTACTCAGTATGTTGGCAAGGTTGGCATTTGGTCGGGTCTCATGGTTCTCACTCCTGAGGCCCCACGACTGCAACCGTTTTCTGGCTGTTGGCATGGTAAAACTATGGGTCCCATTATCCCCATGATATTCCCCTTGAATCACCTTAGGTACAACAGTTCCCTTACCAAACCCTGTTTCACAAAAACTTACCAAAACTGGCATGGTGTCATCTATGGCCTCTTCACCTACCGTCGGGAGATGCAAAAACTCCATGGGCATGATGTCTTCTGATCCTTCAACTGAAACAGTGGTCGTTGGCTGGCTTCCGGCTGACGTGGAGGCACCTGACGATGTCCCTGACATTGACGATCCGGATGATCTGAAGGGACACTCAGCTTTCCAATGACCTTTTCTGTTACAGTTCCTGCAGTATGAGTTCAAGATTCGATCCTGAAGGCTTCTACGGGGCTTCTGGTTCCAGCTACTTTTCCCTTTTCCACCGCCTTTGGCAAAAGAACCCTTGCCTTTGGACGGCGCTGGATTGGAGCGGCTTGTACTCCAAAACCCTCGGTTCTTGAACTTTTCTGTCAACCTACGGCGAGCTTCTGTGTAGGCACTGTAGGCTGAGGCTGAGGCCAGGTCACTGTCTTCCTGAAGAAGTTCATTGGCTGCAGCCTCAAAGTCTGAGACTAAGGCCGCGTCGGTGTCGCCCTCACTCAGGAGAGCCTCGATGAACTCTTCCTCACCTTGATCTTCTTGAGCATGGTACGCCTGGTCTTCATCATCTGTTACCAACGTTGCTGCACTGTACACTTTCTGTTTGCTGGTTGATTTCTGTCCAGTCATTTCCTGAAAGAACGTGGCACCTAGGATACGAATTGCTTCGGACACTCTACCTGTCGTCAGCTTCCCTTCAAGGCTGTTGTCCGACTCCAAAATGACCTTCTTCTTCTCCTCCGGGGACAATGTTGACCCTCGCAGAATCACAAAGGCCTGAAGGTCCTCCATGGAGATCTTCTGAGCCAAGAACTTGCTCCAAGCTATATCAGCTCGGGCAAGGAAGCTGTCATTCGATTCGTCCTTCATCTGTACTGTGTTGTAAAGGGCCTGTTCAGCCTCTTCGTACTGTCGTTCCAGTCCTATGCGACCCCAGTGGCCACCAAGCAATTCGATCACCTTCCGAACGCTCTTTTCATCGTTCTCCATGAGCTCAGCCTGGTGTAGCTGAAGTTTGGAGAACGCACTGCCTTGGCTATTCAGGATTAACCTCATCACCAGCTCCGTGATCTTCGTTTTCGGCCATGCAGCAAGCAACAGTTCCACTTTCTGTTTGTAAATCTGCAGGCTGTCTTTGGATGGATCAAACGTCGGGACCAGATTTGTCAGCTGTGTGCTGACTCCGGTGTCGGTCCTTCCGCCATCCCCATCCGATGCTGAAGACATCTTGTATTTCCCCTGGATCCTTTTTCGGCTAGGAAAACAGGCTGTTGTTCGTAGTCAGAGCCGGAGCTCCGCTACCAATGTAAATGGTAGAGAACTCTCTGTTGAAACTGCAGTGGTCTGATCAGACTTTGAATGGAGGAAACTGTATGAAACCCTGTCCAATGAATGTCCCCTTCACCCAGCCAAATGGGATCGCACTGTCTATGTTTTCTGCCCTGCCGCAAACACTGAAATCACTGCACCACGAGTGGAAGGACGGCCGCGTCCAGAACTCTGAAGCACCCTGTGCTATCACGTGCACCGAAGCAAATGGCTCTAAGGTGGACAAATCCCACCCTCCCGCTGCCAGGCTTCCGAGCCTTGACACCTGCGGTAAACATCATCAAGTGGCATCTGTTGGACCTGGAGATAACCCAAGGGTGAACATGGCACTTGCACAAATGGAAATCACAGTACATGTATATATATATAATTATATATACAGGATTTAGATGTGTATATGCTGTAGTATGAATTGGAAAATTAGATAAAGTAAGATGACATGGCACACAATTTGAATGTATAGGGTAGCTTTGATTTGGATAAAATGACAGAACACATCTCCAACAACGCAAATGCACACATGAAGCATCTTATCATGTCCTCTAACACATTGTCAGGTATTATATGTTATTATTAAATAAGTAAAGTCATGACATGTGTAATGATGTGTAATAGCATCTACTTTTAGGGGTCCGCAAGTAGATAGTCAATGATAAACAACAATTATACCGTACGACTTTGGTGTGAGTTACCTGTCCTTCACCAACTGCAACTCTAGAAAGTCACCCACACCCTCACTATGAATTGTTGGTTCATTCTAAATACAACTGCAGATCTATCTACCATCAACGCCAGTGATGTTGGCAAACTAAACCGACAGAACACCCTTATAAAACAACTATACTAACTATACATCCAAGATTTTGGGTGGCCAAATCCCAATGTTCAGTTGTCAAAAACCATATAAACCATATTCTGTGTGGCTTATTTTTTGTGGCTAAAGCCATCGCCGTTCCTTGGGCGCCGTGGTCAGCATGTCCAACAAATCCACGGCAGCGGAGGGCGCATGATCGATGAGATCACAGAGATCTTTCACCTGGGTTTTCCCCCATGGATTCCATGGATTCCATCAATAGGGGCTGAAACACTAGGGATGTTGGTGAATGTTGGGGATGAATGGGGATGATTTTGGGATGATTCTTAATTTATGTAACAAATTATTGTAGGATTTATAGGATGATTCTTGTGTACCAACAAAATGTGATAGATGATTTATAGTATAGCTGATGTGTATGACTTATATTGAATTATGAGGTGGCAAAATGGGACACTTGCGGGGATCACTGGAAAGATTTTGGAGGGAAAGTCTTAACCCGAAACCATGGTTACAACCAGCAAATGTGAGGATTTTCTGTTTTTTTTAGATCGTCATCCAGTTTTTCATCAGACGGCTTGGTGGAAAACAATGACGACGTATACAGTATAACCATCAGAAATTTGGGATTTCACATGATTTCATCATGACAAGTTGACAAGTTGACAAGCCAAATTTAACATACGGAAGACTGGAATTTAACCAACACGATAATTAAATGTTCATGTTAGCTCAAAAAAATGAGATCTACATCCAAACATGACAACACAACTGCGCCGTGTCAAGCTACGGTGATCATTCCTTTCTCAGCACCCGCAATGATGCTCTCCTTCCACTCCTTGTGTCCAACGGTTGGGGGGCAACCAAGATGTTTTTGTGAATATCCTGAATTGGGGGTTTCCATAAATGGAAGTACCCCAATAGCTGGATGGTTTATAATGGAACATCCATCTATAAATGGATGATTTGGGGGTACCCCCATTTACGGAAACCTCCAATTGAGAAATCAGCAAGACATGAACAGCAAAACAAAGATGATGACTTAGAGACTTAGCGCAAAAAAAAATGTCATGGTCTTTTCCAGCACGGGAACCGGTGAATTTTCTCTGGAGATATGCACGTCAGGTGATCCATACATATATATATATATATACGTGTCACGAGTCACAACCATGGACCCAAGCTGAAATCATCTGACTGCATCACATCAACCAGTGGAATCGGTTGGAAGATCTACACAGGAAACCCCCATATTTCATGGCACAGATCGATGGATGGCTTCCTGAATCTCTTGAGGCCATAGCCACACTCACAGACTCCTAGAGTATTACCGTTGGTTTTGTGCCGATGTTTTCATGGATAACACGTTTTGAATATGTTTGAATAACACTGTGTGTTTGTGAATTCCCCATGAAATTGCTTGAAAACACCAACATGTTTTGGTCAAATCCCCTTGAACTCCCTTTTCTTGTGGGTCCAATCCCCCTTTAAAAATCACCATTTTCGTGGCTGAAAATCACCCTCCAAAGCGGGTCTCCGCAGGGGTCCTTGCTGATCTCCACATTCTTCAGATCCACGGCCCGCAGCGGCTCCTCCTCGCCGTCTCCGCAGGTCGTGGTCCTGTCTGTCGTGTCGTGTCGCGGCCAGGCATTGGGAACTATTCCCATGATTTTAGGACTTTGGAGGTCTGGGTAGGTATAAAAAAAAACAGAAAAGTGACATGTCCAACAACCAAACTTGGGAATTCATCCATGAAGGCTGGAGAATCGAAGATTGCCAGAAATATTGGCGACTAAGGTGGGTCCCAGGGAGCTCTTGAATGCACATGCAGAGATTGACCGGTCACATGTGCGAGAATAGTCGTAAACTATCCCTTTTTGGGTACCTAATGACTTGACGACTTGACCAATATCCCACTGTTTGTGATTAAAAAAAAAGCGCTCACTTCAACGCACCGGGATGCTTTCAAATCGTTCAGAATCGTGCGCACCAATGCGCTCCTGTAGCAGTTCATCACATCTTATATGTTATAATATGTTATATATATATATGTTATATGTATATATATATGTTATATATATATATATATGTTTATATATATATATATGTGTATATATATATATGTTTATATATATATATGTTTATATATATGTTTATATATATATGTTTATATATATATATATGTTTATATATATATGTTTATATATATATATGTTTATATATATATGTTTATATATATATATATATGTTTATATATATATGTGTTTATATATAGATATGTTTATATATATATGTTTATATATATATATGTTTATATATATATATGTTTATGTATATATATATATTTATATATATATATGTTTATATATATATGTTTATATATATATATACATATATATATATATGTGTATATATATATGTTCGACTTCATGAACACTTGAGGCCATGGCCCAAGAATTCCTAATTTTTTAGCCTCCAACGTCGACCGTTTCCCCAAGGCGGCCCAGCAGGCAGCCTTTGATAATCACGCACGAGTTTGGGAGCGGCATCGGGGCAGGTCATTGCCACCTTCTTAAAGGCCTGGACCCGGCCTGGCCGTGGCAGCTGTGGAGCCGTGGCAAACACTTTTTGTGCACGGAAGAATGCCTAAGGGAGATGATGTTCCATGGATTTCCATGGGAAATTCACAGTGCCATGCAGAATGGCCGGAGGGTAACTGCAGCTCTTTGCATAGATTCCCTATTGTGCTTCCTCACGATGGTTGTTGTAACTTCGCATCAAAGAATCTCTATCCTTTCTTTGCAGCTAATAATACCCTCGCCTTCCACTTGTCAAATATGGAACCAACCCCAAAGTATCCCAAAGTCATTATTGGTAAAACTACCTGGTTACCTATCTCAAAGGATTCAGAGGTAACTGGAAGGCTAGAGATAGGGAATTTATAGCCATTTCCTCACACATATATCTGCGTCTTCCTATTGACGCACCAACGACGACGATATGTGCTACTGTGGATAAGTACACAACATAACTAAATCACACTTATATGATCTTATATGTCAGGATATCTAATTATCTTGATTTTCTGGCATTTGTTTCGCAACTTTTGTAGCCTCAATGGCTCTAAATAGCGACCTTGCTGCTTCTCGACACCTGCCATGGCTGCTTCAGCATCCAAGCTGTCAAAGCAGCGCGTGAAGAGATACAACTGATCCGCAGGGAAGTGCCTCGGAGATGTTGGGAAAATCGCCCGGAAACCACTTTTCTTTTACGCTTCAAACTGGTTTTTTGGGTCCTGGATTTTGTCCTGTAGAGCTTCGTTTTATCCAATTCTTGGAACTGTATAAACTATAACTTCCATTCATCATCATTCATCTAGCCGGGAATTGCCAATAGCCATAACGTGGAGATGTCAAAAAAAAAAAACTATTCCTGAGTGGTTGCGGTTATCCGCATATGTGAAGCCATCCAACCATGTTTAATTCTATGCTGTAGTTTCCAGCTATTTATTTCAGGGCTGAATAAATACCTGGAACACAACCAACTGACCCTTATTGTGGAGGTGATATGAACGGTATATTTAGGCAAACTGCCATTCTAAAACTGGATCAAATGGGTTGCAGCTACGATTAGTGAAGATAGTTAAACGGCACCTTCAAAACATTGGCTGCCGATATCTTGGCAATTTGACTAAAACAATGGAAAGATAAGAATGCAATTTATTTATCACGCAATTGATCAACCAGGTTTTACTCATCTGAGTTTCACATTGTTCTACATTCAATGGATTGGTTTAAGGGAAAATCTTAACCGGAAACCATGGTTTTTACCATCAAATATAGGGCTTTCCTGTAAATTTTCCCATCATCCAATTCTATGATACATAGATTCTATGTCCATGTCTTCTCCTCAAAGTGCAGAGGGAAACGCAGAGGGAAACCCGCCTTGAACTCTGCCAAGGTGCCCTCGCTCCACAGCAACAGTCAAGGGTTCTTCGTCATTGTTGTTCGTGCCTCAAACTCGCTGCTGCCGCTCAAGGGACTCAAGGGATCACCTTGCTCGATCAATCTATCATTCCATGGTATGATTGTAGTGACCCGAAACGAATATGGAACAGTTATACCATGATTTACCACTACAATGTGACCCCCCCCCTCAGTTATAATTTGGTTGATAAACCCCGTTAACTATTAAGTATCATAAACCATCGTTGCTGGAGTTGTAGACCATTGCATTTTCTTTGGACTTCACTTTTCATGATACTGTTCGATGTGTTGGATCGTCGTGGTTCACTCTCAGGAGCCCCGGCGCTTCACCAAGTGGTAGCTTTCTTTCATGGCGCTGCGCCAGGCGTCTTCGCTCTTCTTGGCCTCCCTTTGCCGCTCCTGCAGGCGCAGCCCGTTGGCCCCGGTGTAGTTCTAAGCGTATTAAAATTGTGAACCATAAAGTAGTGACATGGTATATAACCATGACATATATGATTTAGTGACCATCATCCAACTATATGCTTGATCATCATGGTACACTCATTGAGTATTGTAGTGACCATGGTATACATAATTTATATGGTATATAACCATGACATAGCATGACTATATAACCATCATCCAACTATATGTTTATTTTATCACCGTAATGTTACTTGTTAAACTACGTATCAAACATTTTGTTTGTTTAGCACCTTGTGGTTATGGGAATAGCACGATTAGCAACATCATCCAACTATATGCTTATTTTATCACCATAATGTTTCCTGTTACACTACTTATCAAAAGGTTTCTTTTTTTTTCGTTTAGCACCTTGTGGTTATGGGAATAGCACTATTAGCAACATCCTAGTTCAGTTGTCACAATTCATGAGCTTAATATACCATCCACTCTATTGTAACTTAGAATATACTACCATATCAAAGTATCTACTGTAACTGCAGTAGGATATGGTTGAGTGATATAATTCGGAATATCTCATCAGTATATATATATATATATTGTAACTGGGTCTGTCAGTATGCTTGATGTGAACTATCTATATAACTATACCTAACTTAGGATTCCCGGGTCACCCCTCAAGTGCTGTGGGGTTCACGTCGCCAATTGATCCCCCCTTGGACCATTCCTGGAACCCGTCCACGTTGCGGGGTCGAAAATCATATCTGGCTAGCGTTCTTTAGTTTGGTTGCTTGACATTGCCTGAATCTCAATTCATCCATAATATGTAATACAATAGGTGTGTATATATATATATATCTATTAATAATCAAGTAAACATCCCATGGTTGGTGGTCAAGTCTCAATTCTTGGCTGGCTAAATCACTATGTGTCATGATCAAAACACAAAACAAATTCCCGATTTGGGCATAAATCCCCCAATATTCTTATCATCATCATGCACATTTCACTGAAGTCCAATGTTTTGCAACTGAAAATCCACATGTTTAACCGGCCAATCCCCCATTTTTAATCGGTGGTTTCCTCCACACGGGCCCCCTGGCGCCCAGCTGCCGCCCAACCTTGTCATCGACGGAGTGCATCCTCCCTGCCAGAAAATCGTCCTGCGGAGGAAAGGCCAAAGGATATCACCAAACTTTGGCCGTGTATATATATATAATATGTATATATATAATATGTATATATATACAGTATATGGGATGATTGACCTTGCAATGAAATCCAGTCAATAAAATAGAAAAAACAGGTAGGTCCTGGTGGGTGGGTGAGCATATACATACATACATACATATATATATAGTGTACAATATGACATATATCAAATCAGATCAAAATTATAAAGAATATGGACGACCGGCTCACGGTTTGCGTATATCGATTCAGATGGGACAACTGGCCTAAAAAATCATAGCCATGGAGAGTCCTAGCACACATACACAGTAGCGGTACCCAAAGTGACCAACAATCATATCTTTTCGAACACATCAAGGACTCAGTTTGGTACATGAAACTTATGAAACTTTCAAGGATAGTTACTCCTCGATTTCAAACCGAGCAGTACTGAGTAGAAGGACATGGATGTAATTGTTTTTTCATGAGAGCGTGTATGAAAATGGATATATGTGTATAAGTTTAATTTGTATGTGTATAATAATGTAGATGACATACCCTCTGGTAACTTAACATAGCTATTGAACATGACCATTTATAGTGGATTTTCCCATTGAAAATGGTGATTTTCCATAGTTATGTTAGTTTACCAGAGGGTAATACAATAATTGGCAAGCTTTCGTACATTTTCCCTGTGAAGCATCCAATGTGTTTGGCCAGGACTGGGCCTCATCCTCGTCCTTTTCCTTGCCTTCCTCCTCGGAAGCCAAGCCCAAAATCATGGTTGGTAAAATCACCCTGGTTACCCTCTGGTAAACTAACATAACTATGGAAAATCACCATTTTCAATGGGAAAATCCACTATAAATGGCCATTTTCAATAGCTACGTTAAATTACCAAAGGGTGCTATCTCAGACTTATCATATGGAGCTTTCCATCCAGTCATGGCTTGTAAAATCCCCCTAGTTATCATCCAGTCCTCATGAATGATCATGACTTAGTGTTGAAAGCCATGGGTCTTTGGGGATCCATCATGACTTTTCAGAAAACTCCACTGATATTGTATATCATTATATATGATTCATAATGGATAATATATGGTTAATGATGGTTAATATATGGTTAATCATGGTTAATATTGGTTAATAATGGTTAATGATGATTAATGATGGTTATATAATGGTGAATAATGATTAATGACTGGTTGGTGGTTGACAAAACCCCTCTGAACCATATGACTTCGTCAGTTGGGGTGATGACATTCCCAATATATGGAAAAATATATAAAAAAAATGTTTGAAACCACCAACCAGATATTCTATTTTATATATATATATATGATGTCCATTGATTTCCTATGTAAATGATTATTGCATATGATTGATACAACAAGAGCTGTTGATTGATACGGCAGTTGACGAACTGTTTTCCAAACCGACCACCAGAAATTGATCAAGTGGGGGTTGAAAGACGTGGTTTACTGCGGACAACATCATTGAATCAAAGCTCTGGTTGGTGATTCAGATCCCAAAGATGGTCATGTAGATTCATCTTCCCCACAAAACTAGGGAGGAATGTCTTTTACCCACTGCAAGGCTTCTGCTTACGTCCAAAAAAAGGTGTAAGATCCAGTACCCGGACGCTAGAAACATCTCATACCTTGCAATGTCAAACATGGTTTGACTTCTGGTGGATGGTGTAGACCCAAATTCCATCAAATTCCTGTTTCCTCATATTTCCTCATATTTCCTCAATTAAACGCTGGAAGAAACGGAACTGTATACTGTCTCCGGGTTGTGTGGTGGCAGCAATATGCAGCAATCGCGCGTCCGACATGCCAGAAAGATCCAAATTTCGGGTCTTGACCGCATCTTTAAGCATCCCAAATCACCGAAAAAGTCAACGTTCGTGATGTTCAACCCCCTGAAATCCACGGCAACTCCACGGAAATTCAGGCTCGGGTCGGTTCAAACATTCTTGTCCCCCCCAAAAAAAACATTACTTGGTGAAGGTTACCCTCTGGTAAACTAACATAACTATGGAAAATCACCATGTTTCATGGGTAAATCTACTATAAATGGCCATTTTCAATAGCTACGTTAAATTACCAGAGGGCAACAACAATCAATCTTTATGGGTCCAGCTACATGATCCATCCCTGGGCATCCCGGCTCGGTGGCGGTCATAGAGCAGAAACTTCACCAGGTCGTCCTCAAGTGGTGAAGTTTGGAGGTACCATATCCAAGGCCTATTTTTTAGGGCTAAGGAGATCTCCCTGCTTTAAAAAAGGGACGTCGTAGCGACAGTAGCTCCATTTTAGGCTACATTCCAACTGATTTCAGGGAAGGAAACCTGGGATTTTCCCTTAAACCAATCTAATGACGAATGCTAAGGAACCAATAGCTACAGAAATGGTGCTTGAGATCTGAAAAAATGATTCTTTCCCTCTCAATGGATCTTCAACCATCAAGCATTGGGGCTTAACTCTACACATAATGGAGTTCATGGAAGTTCTCACCCCTTTCTTGGGCCTACCTGGACTTATATGTCAATAACCGACTTGCAATTGGTAAGAGGAACGTGTTGTAACATGCATTGTGTTGTAGTCACATGAGAGATGTGTTTCCTATGAAGTGAGTCCACATCACTTCAATTTGAGATTGATCTGACATGAGATCGCGAGGTCGCTTCAAGTTTCGTGGGTGAACCAAGGTGTTTTTATGCATCCGACACATGCCGTATGTGCCATGGTCAAAACAATGCATATTGGGTAGATCATCCATCCCACACTGGAAATCCTGATGTAATTCTCTATTAAAGGATAGATGACTATCCCCCACCCCCAATGTGGTATCCAATGAAACCTTTTGACCATGGCAAAAAAAAACGTTGTTGCTCAGTGATGGCCATCCTGATGCGGGAACAGAAAACCCTCACCTTCCAGGCAAACCTCTCAATAATGACCCTTCCAGTTGCCTATCTCAGTTGGGTAAGTGAAAGGTTAAGGATCTTTTTAACAGTTGAATCCACAGTTCTGGCCCGAAATACCAGTTATAAGATGTTATGAGTCAGTCATACCACCATTTATGAAATGATAAGACCATAGAAAATACTAAGCTGGTTGGTGGTTTTAACCATCTTGAAAAATATGAAAGTCAATGGGAAGGATTATCCCATATATTATGGAAAATAATCCAAATGTTCAAAACCACCAATCAGTAAATAACAATGAAAATCACTGGTTTCTAGGGCTTTAACTGCATCAAATTGATCCTGATCCCCCGACCCGAGCATCGCGCCCGTTTTTTCACAAGGGCCCCGGGCGTGTCCCATTCTGGCCGCCAAATGCAACGCAGTGTTGCCGTCATTGTTCTTCTTCTAGGCAGTTGGGTACATTAGATATAGTTGGGATACAATGATATTTGCAAAACTAACTATAGTAATTTAACATAGCTATGGAAAATCACCATTTTTGATGGGAAAACTCACTATAAATGGCCATTTTCAATAGCTTTTTGTATGTTTACCAGAGGGTAACTATAGTAACTTTAGTATAATAGTGGTGTGTCTGAAAATGGAGGCAACATGGCTAGGCTACATAGATATCATTGATATCATGATGAGAACCACAGGATTTTTTTGGTGTTCCGCTGTTGGAAAAACATACGAGATGCAAATTACCGGCATTTGTCAACAGGAGAACCTTGGAATACCTTGGACATATATCTCAGATCATTGCGGATGCAAAACTCCTGGCTATTCAAAGTGGTCATGTCCCTTGTGTTAAAAGACCATTCCGGTGACCTCAATCCATGAGATGCAAAGGTCACTTTGAAATACTTTGGAGACCTTCCATTGTTGTGTAATGTATATTATATTATATTATATATATATATATATTATGTATATATTATATTATATATATACATATCATATATATATATAATAATATATATATAATAATATATATATATATAATATAATATATATACATATTCAATCAAACTTGGATACACACATGATCCACCATGCGTTATATACATATGAGCCGCCGTCAACATGATAGGTCTTTGCCTTGCTCAAAAACAAAGGGTATCGCTCTTTTAGGGGGGCCCTATCGCTAACCATGGTTTTGCACTTCTGAGGATGATGGAGGAACAAATTTGTCTAAAGGACCAAAAAGGAAAAGGAAAAAACAGGAAAAATTGAGTTTTCTTCTTTGAAACTGTTCCATTGGCAAATCTGGGAAGGATCCCTCCAATAAGGGTCCCATTTGGCAAGGATCCCAATTGAGACCCTTGCCACCTTTGCCATTGCACGGAGTCTCAATTGGGCAAGATGGCAAAGAAAAGGGAAAAAAAAAGGACTCCGTTTACACCCCGCTGGGCTTGCGGACCGCGGCTTCCGCTTTGTACGACAGCAACATCTTCACGCACTCCTGCCACGAAATCCGTTGTGGACTGGAAGATGCGGTCCCAACAAATAAGAAAATCATGGGGAAATATGGAGAAATCCCTTATGAATGGAGGTTTTAATGGGAAAACTATTCATCAATATATTATATGTATATATATATATTATAAAGTTATATGATTTTTTGTTTTTCCAGCTAGCCATCTTTCATTATCAAAGGCTAACCTCTGAACATGAGATCAGGGATTTGACGGATTTCATCGATTGATTGATGGTTGGCATTAGAAAGTTGAAAACTATGCAACTGTACAGTTGGATGGGTTACAAACCCGGCAGAGAAAGAGAGAACAAAGAACACAGACTGACATACACGAATTATGTGGGTGCTTGAGCCTTTAAGCAGGAAGAAGGTGGTGAATGGCCAACAAAACATTATGTATTTGTAAGATAGCGATAATATGGGCAAACAATAGTAAACCATCTCCAATTCTACCCTTTTTATGGATGGTACAAACCATCAATCCATATTTAGTGGTGGTTTATTATGGTTTTACCAAATTTTCAATGACAGTTTGGGATTCAATTTTGGACATTCTTCTCCAACACAGTGGACCCTGGTACTATCATCGACAATATGACAGTGGGCACCTGCATTTTTTACGTGTTATTCCATTTAACCAGAGATGTTGGCAGTTTCTGGGATCATTCCCCTTATACAATATCATCATGTCATAATTTCAGATCTTAAATATATATATATATATACAAGTATATATATCCCTAAACCAGAGATGGTGGCAGCTTTTGGTTTGGGATTGCCATTACAGTATTCAAATGAACCCTATGAACCCCCAAAAAGATAGGAACAATTATGTGTTCACTATTTTAGGCGGAATTTCCTGTTTCCATCTTTTGATGGTTGCTATTATGTATACCCTTTGGTTATTTAACATAGCTGCCATAGCTATGGAAAATGACCCATTTATAGATGATGTACCTATGAAAACATTGATTTTCCATGGCTATGTTAAATAACCAAAGGGTATATATATATATATATTCAAAACATGTTTTCCAAACTTCGGCCCGGCCCACTCCTTGCGGTTGAACCACACAGCGTCGTGGATCGGGTAGTAGTGAGGCATCTTGTTGACCAGTGCCTTGCCGAAGCGGCAAGGATGACAGGTAGGTAGAAGCATTCCACCAATGGATAGATGCGGGTTCAACCATCAAACAATGGGAGTTTAACCACCAGAGCTGAATACAATGACCCTGATAAATTGGAGAATATCCCAATAATCTCCAATAATTATCATTCTGAACTTTCCCAACTCCCAACTGCAACAATTCCACACATGGTCTGGCCAACAATTTCGTTCACAGCTACGTTCGAACGCTACCTGACATCGCCGAACGACACCAGGGACCACACCTGAGCATTCGGATCTGCATTCTGCTTGATGAGGTACTCAAGGGTCCTGAGCTGCCCCAACTTGCGGATGGCCCCTAAGACTAAGCGATGCTAAAATCATGGTATTTGACTTATCTATGGATTAGTGGGATTTTAATGGGATTTTAATGGGATTTTAATGGGGGTTTTATGGGGTTTAATGGAATTTTAATGGGATTTTAATGGGATGTTCACAGGGTTTAATGGATAGTGGGATATATTCTCGCTGAATGATAATAAGCATTCACTAGCCTGAAAATGGTTGTTATCATAAGGCCATTTGGGGATGATTCCACATATATAAACCATCCTTCCAGTGACATCACAGTGAGATGATGAACGGTATTCCGATGTGGGTCAAACACAGCTTGTCTTATGAAGGAAAACATATTCAACCAGAAACAAAGGCAACAAAAGCAGGAATAAAAACATGGCAGCGGGAGCAAAGCAACGAAAGCACCAATGTTTTGTCTACAATCCCCACACATCATTAATGTAAACCAGCCAAATTGTGCCAATTCCTGTAGTCGGGGGTTTCTAATTACGTGTCGAGATGTTGACTACATCTTGCATGAAGCAAGCGCGCACGCGCAGCTCTTTGGATTGTAATCACAAAATGGAAGTGATTTGAATGACTTCACCCCAACAAATAGTGCTGTTTGCCAATGCAAATGGAGTTCATTACAATCCCATTCCTTGTGGACAATACTTCAGACCAGCAGAAACCCTGAACTTAACAACTCATTATTGCAATTGAAGTGTTTAGAGGAGAAATGATGCAAGCACCATTTGAGACCAATCAAACACATTGTATAACCACACAACCCCAGATTATCTAGCAGTCTAGCATCATGATTTAGCTGGATATCGGATATTTCTCCCCCAGTGATCTACGCTTTCAACCATCAACCATACGAAATCTGGCTTTGTCCGAAAATAGCTCCCAAATTCCAAGTCGGCCCCACGGCTACGTGTTCATCCCCCATGTCGGACAAACCAAGGTTTGATGGGAAATGTTCACTTCTCCATGTCAAACAATCCCCGGCTTTGATGGTCAAGTTCTCACGATCGATGCATCGGTAGCCGAAACTGTGGTAGCCATTGGTATAGCCTCCATGATTTCAGAAAGGTATCGCCAATTTTGCAACAAAAATCGTTAATGCACCACTGAATCAAACGCCATGGGGAAAGCACCCATTTCTATCCATTTCTCACCATGCTGTGATGATATCTGATGATTGTATAGTCACAATTTATGGTAGCCACCTCCATATCTACACAGCCAATCCTACGCCAAGGTGCTTGGCATTGCCTGCACCCGCAGCCATGTGAATGGCCTGGTTCCGGTCACAAGTTACATTCCAAAGGTGCTGAAGATCTGAATACTGTGTATATTATATCCATATATATATATTATATAAATATTATATATATATATAACATTATATAACATTATATAACCCTCACAAAGCATGATAAATAGAAATCATCTAAATCTGGGTACATATTATTGGCACGTCAAGAAACGACCCTAAGCACAATCCAGAAGTGTGAGCGCAACCATCAGCAGGTAATGATATTGAATGAAACTCTAAGCTATGCTGCACCAAAAATGGTTCGGCTGAGTAGCCTCAGGTCCATTGACCTTCACCAAACCCGCCGAGAGAGTCAGTACTGGACCACATTTTACAAAAAATGCTATCCATAGAGCTCTCTTGAGAGAAGACTATAAGAAGTAAAGTCCATTTTAGTACAATGATGGAGCCTTGAACCCGTATACCTTTGTAACTTTCCATCTGGTTATTTAACACAGCCATGGAAAATCACCATTTTTATTAAGTAAACCATCTATTTCTATGGGCCATCTATACCAAGGCTATGTTAAATAACCAGAGGGTATAACATTAGTGCCCCCGTTAAGAAGGCCCTGGTATCAACGCATCTGCATCAACTGCATCAACTGCAACCTCCGGTGGTTCAGCCGGATGATCCATCCCACTTCCTGGTTAGTAAGTCATGCATTCAGTGGATTATCATGGATTATCCCATGATTATCCACAATTATCCCATTTATCAATGGGAGATGGGTGTATCCCATTTATAAATGAGTGAACTTTCCCATAGGATCCATGTATGGTATATATGCTAACATTGGGGGTATATTGATGGTAAATATTACCATATATATAGCATACATGGATCCTATGGGTTTGGTGCCCAGTTGCCCAGTTACGTGGAACACACGGCGATCCGTGGTGACCTCCAGTTCACGGGTGGTCTTCCCTTCGGTGATTCTCGCCTATGTCAGCAGCCAGATCATTTGCGTCGTGGCTGCAAGGTTACTTCAATGTTTTGTTGGAATGTCTGGGTCAATCTTTATTCAACAGTTCTCCATATCAATAAAAAAACAATCAAAACAGTTTTCAATGTTTTTGAACAGTCTCCACTTTCACCCACCCTTGGAGGCGAGAGGTCTCGAGTTATACCATTTGCCCGACCAGATCAAGGAATTGCTGTATGCTGCTAACCTACTACCAAGTTTTTTATGTTTTTTTTCCCCCGTTATAGAGGTTTCCAAAAAAAAATCAAAAAAACACAAACACCTTTAAAAGTAATGCTTCGCCTGTTGTCAATACAATTGTAGTTTGTGATTTACAAACACGTCAGGAACGATCTTCAAGAAAATCCTTGTCTTTGGAACAGCACAAGACATTTCACCCCCATCGGCATGGAAACAAACATCAGGAACCATTATCAAGTCCGTCCACCGAATCTACACATACATTGTATAAGTTGGACCCAAATGCGATAAACCCAACAATGCACCTGGCCCAACATCACCACAAATGTGCGGTTTATACCAAATAATGATAGCTTTACTATTGGGTTTCCCACATTATTGACAATGCAGAATTACATCTCCGACAACCTACTCCTTCCAGTGTTGGCAAATGTTGGAAGACGGTTAAGGATGGTGAAGGTCCCAACAAAAACACAGTGGGCATCATTTGGGTACCATACCGCCATAGCACTGTGGGTGATTCGGAATACAACTAGCTGATCAATCCACTGAAAAATGTGAGATCCTCCTGTCAAACATACCATACATCCTGACACCTGGGGAGCCTCAAAGTATACCCTCTGGTTATGACTAACATAGCCATGGTATAGATGGTCCATAGAAATAGATGGTTTACCGTTCTAAAAATGGGTGGATCTTTCCATGGCGAACTGTTAGTCATAACCAGATGGTATAAGTTATAAAGGTATACGGGTCCAAGGGTCCATCATTGTACATGTCAACATTGTCAAACAGGTGTCAACCAAGATGTCAAACATTGTCAGGCCACGATTCCTCTACAATGTCCAACAAAAATCATCATCCAAGGTCTCCATCAACACCATGGATCATGGCCTCCCTCTGGTCTACCCGCCTTGGAAAGCAACCCGATAGATACCCTGAAAAAGTATATTTGTTTGGGTTTTTTTAATGGCCTGACCCAGGATATTTGACCCATTTATCTATCTGTTTCTACTTTTCTTGGGTTGAGCTCTGCTTCCAATCATCAATCTATAATAGCCTCAACAAAATATCCCAGGACATCCCCAAGAGCTACCTTGGTCTTGACTTCTGCTCGTGCTTCCACCAGGAGCTTCACACATGTCAGGGCCTGTGCAAAGTTTTTAGCAGCTTCCACCATGGGCGCCCTTAAAACAAAACAGTAAAGTGTTGGATTTATAGCATCTAAAGTAACAGTTCGCTTGCTGGGAAAATCACCAGTTTACAAATGATGACCGCCGTTCAGACGGGGGGCGGTTTTGACTGCTGGAGGGTTTGTTTGCCGAAAAGAGAAAGCGACATTCAAGCAGTACCAAAGCCTTAGCAGACCCTTTGGGGGGGTCGCTTTTTTGTGTCGCCGATCAGGTTACTGTAACTATGGTGAAACAAAGGGCAACGATGCCGGCAAAGCTCCAACTGAAGTTAAGATCCATGGTTTGTACCTGGAGTATTTCCACAGCCTGATTACCCTCTGGTAAACTAACATAGCTATTGAAAATGGCCCATAGAAATAGTGGATTTTCCCATTAAAAATTGTGATTTTCCATTGCTATGTAAACGTTCACCAGAGGGTAGTGACTATTTTAGTGTAATGCAACTTCAGGGATACCGAGACTTTTGGGGTCGGGATAAGCTGCATATCCCGAGAGACTCAAAGCAGAACAGGGAAGGCTTCAAAACATGTCAAACAGTAATTCAATAATCATGATGCTTTATCTCTTGAAACACCGTGATTGGTACTAATGTTTACCATACAACCATATTGTTACTATTAAGATCATAACCATGACAACTGTACCACCAGTAGCATGGTGAATCTTAGATACCTCTCAAAAAATCTAATCTTCAGCTGGTTAGTACATTTTGCCATTGAGAGCAAAATAAAGTACTAAGGTATCTAACCAAGGTTGACCCAGGTAAATACCACAACATAAAACCAACCTCTTATGTACCTAATTAATCAATGTTTATTCCACTGTACGGCACTGCAAGGTGTGCAGTCTGCTGTGATCTCACGACACCTGAGGCTAAAGACATGATTTAAAATCACCAAGCAGGGCCACAGGATCATTCAAGCTTTCAGAATTGACAACCTCAGAGAAACCCATCTAAAACAGGATTCATAAAGGGGGATGGCACTCTCAGATACAATTCCCATCCTTGGAGAAACCAGTGGCTGTGGGTCAAAATGCCTGACATACCAAGCCCCAAATGTGGGTCCAATGGGATCCCCCGATGAACTTTCCGCCTTGTTGTCATATCTGACATCGTATGTCTCATCGAGCCTCGCCCTTTCCTGCCAACGAAACTGGATGGATTTGCACACTGATTCCCTTTTTTCAAGTTCCATTGGATACCATCTGTTGAACTAATTCGCCAGGCTTGGGATACACATGACATCTTTTGTTATCCAATGACGATCCTCTGAGATCATTGGAGGTTTCCAATCCATGGGGGTACCCCCCAACTAATCCAAGTCATTGGACCATTTTGGTAACAGCTGGTGACTTGGGATCCCCAAGTACCTTGAGAAAGCTCCATGATTCCGCCCATCATCCATTGAATCATCCAATCATCCCTTCCCAAATCAAACAACTACCCCCAAATTGTATTTGGTTTGAAGAAACTGCCTGGCTTTGTTGGTTTTCCCCCTTCTTTGCTGTTTAATGATGTCAGCCCACAAAGAATCGCTGTTCACCAGTTGGGATCATCATCCCATTTTGGGGGCTTGAACATAAAAACAAACGGGCGTGAAATCTGCAATCAAGTTACATGGATTTCCATATAATTATCACGTATTATATATAATTGTTAATTATGATATACCCATGGAAAATCAATGAAGTTATATTAAGTAAATAATGTCATTGATTAACTTAATTAATTAATATAGGTGATTAATTATTATATATAATAATTAAGTATATAATGCATATAGTGAAATTACCCATATCTTAACATATCTTAACTAACTGGTCAACTGATCCTCCCCCAAAACTTGACCCGAAGCACCTGTCCCCGAGTCCCCGAGCCTCGGGTCTGATGGACTTGCAACAGCTGGGGTACAGTGAGGCTGCATGGATTGCCTTTTCCGAAACGCGCAGCCGGACTACCCTGGCGAAATGACCCAGGTAAATGTGCCATTTTTACCATGGAAAAATACCATGGTACCCTCTGGTTATGAGTAACATAGCCATGGTATAGATGGTCCATAGAAATAGATGGTTTACCTATTAAAAATGGGTGGATCTTTCCATGGCAAACTGTGAATGTCATAACCAGATGGTAAAATCCAGGTAAATTAGGTGATTTTCCATGGTGGATTTTTAGAGGGCAGAAATTCTGTGAAATTCTGGTGCCATGAAACATGGTGCTGCAACCGGTGCTGAGACCATCCAAAGTGGCAACTGTAACTGCTAGGCCACCAGCACTGGGATAGCATGACAGAACATTGTATGGAGCGTGTATCAAGAAAAAACTGATGTCACCCAAATGAGATCAGAAAGCAACTTGGGACAAGCAACAAACATGTCTGGTTGGTGGTGCAATAACCATCTTGAAAAATATGAAAGTCAATGGGAAGGGTGATATCCCACCAACCAGATGACAATGGAATACTGGTTGGTGGTATACCTACCCCTCTGAATAATATGAGTTTGTCAGTTGGGATGATGAAATTCCATATCTATGGAAAAAAAAATAAAAGCCATGTTCCAAACCACCAACCAGCCATTTATATTCCATTACCAGAGGGTTAATCACCATTAATCACCATTAAAACACCATTAGATCACCATTAATATCCCTATTAAATCACCTTTAATATCCCTATTAAATTACCATTAATATATCTATTAAATCACCATTAATATCCCTATTAAAACACCATTAATATCACCATTAATATCACCATTAATATCACCATTACCAGCCATTAAACATCAAAACTCTGAAGGGGAGACCAACAAAATGCCGGGGAAGCCTGTGAGGTGACCTTTCGATTCTTATAGGTCAACACCGAGTCCTGGTTGAAGGCGGAAGGCTCGGCGGGTCGAGTTTCAGTAATACGGTCGAGGTCGATCCTCAATGAAAACCCATGGGTTTTTGTCATGCAACATGGGATCATTCAGATATATTGTCACTTTTATAGTCTATAAAAATATAATATATTAAATAATATTATATATATGTTTTCCATGTTTCCTTTAACGTCCAGATAATCAGATACCAGTAACTAGGGTGTTCTTGTGGCCAGATTGCCAGGATCACAATAGAGGCTCTCAGGACACACTGGTCGCCATGTCCAGTATTCAAGGGACGTCCCGGAACATCTCCAGGAACCCCTGAGTCTGTCCAATATGTTTTTATTTAAAATCAAATCTTGCAGGTTCCATAGATGTTCAAACCAATTCTGGTAAGTATTCATTGGAAATGTTTGGAACGTCTGAGTGGCCTCATACCTGTAGGGTAGATTTTGATGAAACATATCTTTCCCCATCAAAAAAGTTGTCGGTTTCGCAGAAAGCCACCCCTCAAACTTGTTTGTCCCAGATTGTTAAACCACAGGTCCACAAGCTATCGAAATTCACAGAGATCTATGAGGCTAAACTTCAACACATACCCACCAAGAAAGATCAAGAAAGCACCCTGTTCCTACTGGTGGGATCAAATTCCAATTTGCCAATTTTAGTGCTACCATTGGTCGCCCATGGACCAACCATGCACCAGGTCGCCAAGGTCTACCCAGAATTCCTCATCATGGTCGTCCGGCGTGAGCTCGTAATTGAAATCTGCATTGGCCTGCGACAAATGGGTACCCAGTGGAGCGGACACTGGATTCCACCGAACCGGTGCTGCCGGGGCCGTTTCTGTACCGGCTCTGGAGGATGTGAATCAAGGTGATGCAGGTAAAGGGTACTCAGGATCGCAACCTGTCGATGTTTTGAACATCGGTAGAAAAGGCTAGAATTTAGATCAAGGTACTGAAGTGATCCAGATCCATGACCCACAGCCGAACAATCATGACCAATTTTGGATTTGGGGTCCCCCCACTTTAAGGAAATCTACAGGTCTCCAGAGTCTTATTCCAAGACGGATAGAGGTTACCAGGCTTCTACACCGACTTTAGGACACAAGAATCAGAGCACAACTCTGCAGTTGCTTCGGCTGCTTACTTCCAAGGTTTTTGTTCGTGTTTTTACAGAAAGCAAACAGAACTTCTGGGGACAAAAACCTTCAGCACCATTTTCAATGACTCTCGACCCACCAAACAAACACACATGTAATATCTTGCGACCCTGAGCAAGCCATATGAGATTCCTAACATCTTCCATTTTTTGTTTTTTTTTTGGTGGTTCACTGTGTTCACTCCCCAGTTTTGATGGGTCTTCTTGATCAACGACCAACAAACAATGGGCTGTTTCAAGCCTCAAGCGCATTCTTGAGCGCCTTCTCGTTGCCTCACTACACAAGTCATTGCACAAGTCAGGGCGATCTGGGTTTTTCTAAAGCATTAGGGATGTCATCCATGTATCAACTGACCAACTAATATAACTTTAATGGGAAACGCAATGATAAATAATCGAATTAATTTGGGGGAGTTACCTACATCAACCTACATGTATGTTCAAAAAAAAGTAGATTGAACAAACCTATAATATTTGCGCACGAGGTATGTTCATCTGGATTTCAACAACCACGCTTTACCCGGAGAGTGGAGAAGATAGGACGTGGTCTACCCAGAAATAGGAATAGAAACCCAATGCGGATTTCAAGCTTCAGTTGGCTCATCATCAAATTTTGCCAAATTGCGCTTGCTTCGTCCATCTTCCCCATGCACGGACCAGGAGAGACCAATATCTCATTGTCTCGTTGGTATTCATTGGTATGATTTAAGGGAACATTGACAGGAACTCATGGTTTCCACAATCGGTTGTTTTGTTCCTGTGAATTTTCCTGTCAACCCCAATCCATTCCCATATGCTCTATGTATATTTGCCTACCCTACATTTGGCATAGTTTGGTGGTAAATGTTGGTAAATCTTCCAACACCATTTTTCACAGATGGGAATAGAGGCAAACCGATTAGCCAATCCACTGTATTTTTTCCTGTCAACCACAAGTCATACCGACATCATACCCAGATGCTCCATGGTGCTGGAATATTTACCTACATAACTGGGCCATTTTCGAGGTATGTCTATAGGTAAATATTCCAGCACCATGGAGCATCTGGGATAGCGACATCAAGACACCGTTTTTCGCAGCTTTCCACATGTCGTAGTTTGATCCTCGACCTGTCTCAGGCATCATGGTGAGGTGTTGGTCCTCCCCAAGCCCCAAACAAATGGTTCCCGGATACCCTAAAAATGGTCAATTTATATGAGAAAATTATGCTAAACTTGATAAACCATACGAATTAATTCGAGGATATTGTAGCTTCAAGCAAACCTATACTGGTCATGTGGAATTGGTTGTCCACAAGTGATGCACAAGAGAAAAACATTGAAGCCCCTCAAGCAATCCACAAATGACTTCCGCATTATTTTCGTGTCAACCCAGGAGGAATCCCCTTCTGGGGGGATAGTCTACTAATCCCGCAAATTCGTCAACGGGGTTTATAGATCCGGTGTTGACATTTGTGCTGAAACCAGCCATGGCCCTCCCAACAGCTTATCAGCCATCTAAAGGAAAGTCATGGAACTCGTATGTTACACAATTGACACACCTGGAAAACAGAGGACAAACAGGAAAACATAACGAATTTTAATGTGCTTTTTGCCAACAATGACATGAAGAACGCTCTTCCAATAGAGATAAATGATGTAATGACAATGCAAAAACACAGGCAGGCAAACACTATTGCTGATAAGCCTTTCTTTTTCAGTTGTGCCACATCGCCCCCTAGTGAAATCGCCGTTTCTGCAGGTTCTTTGGGAAACTCCTCAGAAAGCTCACCTAGTCACAGCTGTCCTGCTACGTGGATGTTTATTCCTCGTATGAAGACGCTACAAGTTGCTAATTGTTATTAATGTATACACCTTTTAAACCCTCCAAGTACCTATGAAAATTGGTAAGCATGCCCAACATATCGGGTTAACATACCCGTTTTATGGGTACCTAGAGGGTCTAGGTACAAGGGTTAAGCTACATATAATCTGGGTGTTCATTTTTTTTGTATGGTTTACTAAATTAAAAACCGCCCATGGCTTGGGATGCACATCCATCCAACGCCATACGGCCTGAGTGGTGCTCGTTTTCCACAGCCGCCATCGCCGTATTGTACAGCAGCGTGCCACCCCCGCCTCACCGACATCAGGCGCATCCAGAAGTCAAATCAAATGGATACGTATGGATACGTTGGTCAAGGGGGTTCCCTCCTTTCAGCAAACCCCCATATATACTAAACCTGCGATTTTTGCTGAGTAATACATTCAAAACCCAATGCCCTCAAGGTTTGGTGTATCCTGATATGCTATTTGGGTGACCATCCGAATGAACATTTAAACAAATCACTACATAGTGTTGTTCGTTATAACAAATGGAGTCTGCATGTTGAAACCCAACAAATCCCAATAATTAATAATCAATACTCAAGACTGCCCCACTTACGCAATTCTCCCATGTCGGTGTATTTTTCAAAAACCAACATGCCAGAACAAGCGACTTGAGGTTGTTCTTGGGTTTTCCACATGAACTAATCATTGAACCCTCCACTTTTTCTGGGTACCCAACGACTTGACCGCAGGTCAGGATTAAAATTACTTCCTGCTCACTGTGGATGGGCCTGGACAGGCTCGTATCTCAGAGCGCAGTTCTCCTGGAACCACTTCACCGTTGCTCCAGCCGTGAGATTCTAATCCGGGCTGGTCTTTGCCAGTCATTGGGGGACTCTCATCCCAAAAAATGGGCTGGCTGTACATAGAACATGCTTCAAACATGCTTCAAACATGTTTGATACCACCCAGATCATCAATGCTTTTACCCATGATCTCCCCTATGTTGGATGGTCAACCCCCATGCTTTGTTAAAGGACCCTTGGACCCTGGGACCCATCCCATGACTCTCCTGAGCGGTCATTGGGGAGCACCCTCCGCAGCTCTTGCCGTACCAGGCGCCCAGCAACCGGCCAGAGGCCGTTCTTCGGCTGGCTTTGGCTATGTTGAGGACTCGATGGAAAATCCTGCGGCGTTTCAAACAACTGGTCTTAGAATATATGAAAGAAATGAGTAAACCACACTTGGCAGGAGAGTTCAGGCTCCTTGTTCATGTTCCCAACGATACTTCTGAACCGGCGTCAGTCTTTAACGAACATGCTGTCGGCAAAGTGCTTCGACATCTGCAAAAAAACAATCCAAAACAAATCCAGCTGCATCAGCCCGGCTCCTCTGCCATGCCCTACACCTCAGCACTTAGCCGCAAGCCATGCCAGATGGATGCACCGATACCCCTCACCACCATAGCGAAGACGCAACGGGCCAGCTGCCATTGAATGACTCCGGGGCAGGTGTCGAAAGGGGATGTGGCGGATGTGTGTGGTTGGGTGAAGCTGGATGGTTTTGGCTGGATGGTTTCACTGGCAGTTTCCAAAGAGTTTCCAATATTTCTGAGTGATTCAGACATTGTTTGCTGGCAGTTACATTGCAGTTACTATATATGTCTAAATATTCCTGTCAAGTGGGTGTTGGATTCCAGTGCTGATCCACACCCAAGGATCAGTATATTCAATCCTTGACCGTCAAATTACAAGGAAATAGGTCCTATCTCAAGGAGCCCAAGATAGGCCACCTATCCATCTTTTACCAGCACATGGAGTGTCAGTTCCTGTGTTCTGTATGTCTTGTGTTGTTCATATTTTTTTGTCATTGTTTCAACCCCAGTCTGTGTAGATGTGCTACCTTCAACATGTTTTTTATCCGGGGGATCATGACGCAACAGCTACACTGTCTACACAGCTTGATCCGAGTCGGTTGGCAAAATGTGGGCCAGCCACGTGCTCCACAAAAGAAAAATCACCTCTCCATGAGTCTTCAACAATTTTCCGAATATGGCCTATGGCTACTCTTTTTCTACAACAACTCTGAGATCATATTTTGACTTTGTGATTTGTGGTATTGCTTTAGCGAAATTGTTTCACCATGTTTCATGTCACTCTCAACAAATCTGAGATCAGGCGTGTTTTTGTTCCCGATGATCTTTCCTGTTCCGCCTGTTACCAGTACACCAGTGTTGTCGATCCAAGATCCCAATCAAGGATCTTTCTTAGGGTATGTTCCGGGATATCACAATTCATTTTAAAGGAACATGGCAAAGCTAAAACTCCTTCAGTCATCAGCAGTATGGGTATTTTTTGAAAGTACGTGCCCAACCCCCATGGATTATCATAATTAGACCAAACATGTTCATTAAATTGCCGAACACATGTGTATTCTCAAACATGTTTTTTTTTTCTGGTAACCAACAGAACATAAATTACATTAAGGCCACCTATGGCACTGCATCTACAGAAAACACGGTGGAAACTTGTCAACATACATCCCACGGTATTGGGGTCAAGACCTGTATACAATCTAGACACCATATTTTGGGTGATGAACGGCTATTTTGGTGTTCATCAGGGTACCAGGTGTTTGATCCGTGAAGCAATCAACTTGGTTTTGTCCAATAAAGGTAATTTTTCTGTCTAAAAACATTCATATTTCAGATACCCATCTTTGACCCGTATCTTGTCTTCATTATTGTTTATGGTGAACCATACCCTGAGAAGAAGCTACTTTTTGGCAAATTATATATATATCAAATGAATCAAATTTTCAAACTACCATTTATTCCAAGGCTTGAATTTTCCAAAGTTGACAAGACTTGAGCAATATTGGCTCCGTGTCACCTCCGACAAATCCATTTTTAGACGCCGCCGTCACCAGAAAGAGAAGTCAGGCACGCACTCAGAAGCCTGGACCGGTTGACATGTGGGACCTGTCAACCATCGTCAATCCCCATATGGACCCACAACTGTCGAGGTGCTTTCTGAACCTCAACTCACCAAATCAATAGCCATTTATTAGTTATAACTGGTTATTTCTATGGGATTATACAATCTGTAAATGGGGTGACTTGTTAGTACTTATAACTGGTATAACTCGGGCCATAACTGCACCAAATCACCGATCGCAGCCCAGAGGTTGACACAACATGATCAAAATCGTGTCACACGGGCACTTCAATAGCGAATACCTATTTTTTAGCAATCTCCAATCAAACAGACAAATGTTCATTCCTTCTTAAACAGAGGTAATTAGTAATCACTATTATCTACCTCTTCTTATAGATGTATAGTAATTTTTCCTTAATTTTAAACAGATAATGTTTGCATCTGGGGATTACTATACATCGATCTAAGGTCCTTCAGCAAACGTGGCACTGCCCACCTATCGTGGATTTCCCAACCATGATCGATTGTTGAAGGGTAAATAGATATCCAATGATTATCCAATTGTCCCAATTATATATACATACATACATACATACATAACATAACATAACATAACATAACATAACATAACATAACATAACATAACATACGTACGTACGTACGTACATACATACATACATTACATACATTATATACATTACATACATTACATACATTACATACATTACATACATTACATACATTACATACATTACATACATACATTACATACATACATACATACATTACATACATTACATACACATTTACATAACATTACATAACATTACATAACATTACATAACATTACATAACATTACATACATACATACATACATGTATGCATAAATACATACATACATACATACATACATAACATACATAACAGATATTAAATACATTACATTACATACATACATACATGCATACATACATACATTACATTACATTGCATTGCATTACATTACATACATTACATTACATTACATTACATTACATTACATTACATACATACATACATACATACATACATACATTCCATACATACATTACATACATTACATACATTACATACATTACATTCATTACATGCATTTCATAACATACATACATTACATACATTACATACATTACATACATTACATACATTACATACATTACATACATTACATACATTACATACATTACATACATTACATACATTACATACATTACATACATTACATACATTACATACATTACATACCTTACATACATTACATACATTACATACATTACATACATTACATACATTACATACTTTACATACATTACATACATTACATACATTACATACATTACATACATTACATACATTACATACATTACATACATTACATACATTACATACATTACATACATTACATACATTACATACATTACATTACATACATTACATACATTACATATTACATTACATACATTACATACATACATTACATACATTACATACATTACATACATTACATACATTACATACATTACATACATTACATACATTACATACATTACATACATTACATACATTACATACATTACATACATTACATACATTACATACATTACATACATTACATACATTACATACATTACATACATTACATACATTACATACATTTACATACATTACATACATTACATACATTACATACATTACATACATTACATACATTACATACATACATACATTACATACATACATACATTACATACAATACATACATTACATACAATACATACATTACATACAATACATACATTACATACAATACATACATTACATACAATACATACATTACATACAATACATACATTACATACATTACATACATTACATACAATACATACATTACATACATTACATACATTACATACATTACATACATTACATACATTACATACATTACATACATTACATACATTACATACATTACATACATTACATACATTACATCCATTACATACATTACATACATTACATACATTACATACATTACATACATTACATACATTACATACATTACATACATTACATACATTACATACATTACATACATTACATACATTACATACATTACATACATTCCATACATTACATACATTACATACATTACATACATTACATACATACATACATACATACATACATACATGCATGCATGCATGCATGCATGCATGCATGCATACATACATACATACATTACATACATTACATACATTACATACATTACATACATTACATACATTACATACATTACATACATTACATACATTACATACATTCCATACATTCCATACATTCCATACATTCCATACATTCCATACATTGCATACATTACATACATTACATACATTACATACATTACATACATTACATACATTACATACATTACATACACTACATACAGTACATACAGTACATACACTACATACACTACATACATTACATACATTACATACATTACATGCATTACATATTTTACATACATTACATCATTACATACATTACATACATTACATGCATTACATACATTACATACATTACATACATTACATACATTACATACATTACATACATTACATACATTACATACATTACATACATTACATACATTACATACATTACATACACTACATACACTACATACACTACATACACTACATACATTACATACACTACATACACTACATACATTACATACATTACATACATTACATACATTACATACATTTACTTACCACCATTACAAACATTACATACATTACATACATTACATACATTACATACATTACATACATTACATACATTACATACATTACATACATTACATACATTACATACATTACATACATTACATACATTACATACATTACATACATTCCATACATTCCATACATTACATGAATTACATACATTACATACATTACATACATTACATACATTACATACATTACATACATTACATACATTACATACATTACATACACTACATACACTACATACAGTACATACACTACATACCTACATACACTACATACATTACATACATGACATACATGACATACATTACATACATTACATGCATTACATGCATTACATACATTACATACATTACATACATACATAACATACATAACATACATAACATACATAACATACATTACATACATTACATACATTACATACATTACATACATTACATACATTACATACATTACATACA